GATTTCGGCCATGGCGGCCAATCTCATTGAGACTAGTCAACTGCGCAGGAGATATTATAGTGCACAAGTGTACGCGCAGACACAACGTGCACTCTCTATTCCTGTCACTCTCATACTCCTGTGGGACGACTGCTCGACACGACCAGTGAGAGTTAAGGTGCAGGACCGTCGGCTTTACGTGCTCTCCGAGGCATGGGGGTGAAACACCGGTAGCTTCCCAACTCCGGGCTGTTACTGAGGCTTACTATACAGAAAGACTCAATAATTAAACTTGGCCCGACCCGGGACTCGAACCCAGGACCTCCGGGTGTGCAGCCGTACATGCTAGCCACTACACATCCGAGGCAGTTGATTTCATGAGATTTCTTGTAGGGTATATGAAACATTTGTAAACTAGTGAATTATTTGCGATTTACAGTTTCTAAACGAATGACACATTTATAATTTCTGTTATTCGGTATAAGTACTTGTAAATTTAATCCTTCATTAATAACTAATTAAATATAATATGCGGTATACAAACAAAAAACATCACACTAATATTCTAAATATTGTGTTTGTTACTTGTTTACGCTGTAACAGTAGATAGCTGATGTCCTGAAAAAAAATATTTCTAAATTAATCAGCAGGAAGAAGTAGAGAATGGACGATTTTGTATGGGTTCCGCCCCGAGAGTGTATTAAACTATGATATATGTCAATTTAAAGATCATATGAATAGCTTCATTTTATTATATGACACCAACAATGAGGAACGTGCAGGGGAAGAACTATGAATCATTTAACATTATTAAACCCGTGAAAGTCTAAAACAGCATAATCGGTGCGCTTTGAGTTCGTCCCTATACACAAACATAATTACTAGATATTTCATAGACAACAATTTCTGTCGATAAAAGAAAATGTATGAAAAATTGTGATTAACCGGAAAGTAATCTTGTCTTTATTAATAAAATAGTTCATAATTCATTCCCAGTGCTTGTCTCACTTTTGGTTACAATTTTTATATTTACAAAATTTGGTTACAATAAAATAAAGCTATTATTATTACCTTTGAAGTGATATACTTTATATTATATTGTTTTAGACTTTTACGCGTTTAGTTAAACATTAAAAGTAATTGTATGAAAAAGTGTGAATAACTTAAAACTAAATAAATATGTTGGGACATCAACACACAGCACCATCTAGCTCCATGGTAAGGTACGAGACTTGTATTATGGATACCATTAGTTGATACACTACACATATATAACTTTAAATACATACATATTATAAATATAAACATTCGTGGACTCGAACTCGCGACCGCTGGCACAGCAAACAGGGTCCACTACAAACTGAGCCAAGCGTGTCATCTTAGACTTGTCGTTATTAAAAAAAACCGCGTGCATGTACTTATGTACGCACGTAAGAAGTTATACTTCTGAGGCGTAACAGAACAAAAATAGCTAAATATTTCATCCCGTATGTCACAACTCTCTGTAAAAGGAATAATAAAATAATTAAATAAATTAAAAATTTTAAAAACCCCCTACGCAACTTAATTGTCATTTAACGATTACACTGGCACGCGTGAAGCACTTAATCGAGTAATAATACGCCAAAATGCCTTACATCATTTTGGTAAAGAGCTGATACTCTTACACTGCTGGACCGATATTAACCAAACATAGCTGAGAACCACCGCAAGGAAACTGGATTTCAAATGAAAAAACCGTATCGAAATCGGTCCATCCGTTTGAGAGCTACGACACCACAGACAGATACACACAGAGACAGACAGACATCGACGTCAAACTTATAACACGCCTCTTTTTGCGTCGGGGGTTAAAAAGGCATATAAGGCATGTTACAATCATATATTTATGGAATATTATTTAAGGAAAGAATATAATATTATATAACAATATAGACAATAACAACGGTTACCATGACAACAAACAGTTATTAATTAACTTCATCATGTCGCTTTTTGACTGTCGCTGTGTGCGCGCATCGTAAAAATTTTACTCTCATAATTTTTTCCAAACGTCCCAAAAGAAGTATAACTTCAATAAAATAATTCATAGTTCTTTCCCTCCACATATCACATTATTGGTGTTTTATTAGTATTAGCTTTTTAGTAAAACCTTACCTCCTTACTTAGTCATGTGATAATAATTAATCCAAAAAAACATGGAAGAAATTTAAGCTTTTAGTGCCCTTGACCTCATTTTACCTTAATAAAAATACATTTAAATAATAATAACAAGTAAATGGACCTTAAATTGTTGTTCTACAGGTTGCATTTATTGTGTATTAACAATTGCCCGCAATTTCGCTTGCATAGTATATATTTTATGCCTAATTGTTTCGCTCAAAGGGATCGCTGTGACAGGATAGATAGTTACATAAATAGCCTCTACAAATAGATTATAAAGTACAAAAATATTTTTTCAGATATTTTTGTAGATAAGCGCATTCCAACAAACCAAAAAATATAGAACAAACTTTTCAGCTTTATAATTTCGTATATATAGTACAGATTATGCGTTAAGAGAAAGTTTGAACTCACAAAAATTGCAGAACCCTGACAATCCAGTTACATACGTGTTGACCTTAACGCACTCGAAATGACTATATAAAAAGCTTTTGTTAATGACTTTTTATTAGTTCTGATCCAGATTCACACCAACATGTTTTCTAAAGTAAGAGTAAATAAATACAAAACACAATTATCAATACTAAAATTATTAAAGAGGTAAAGTTTGTGAGGTTGTAAGTGGTAATCTCTGGATCTACTTAACCGATTAAGATGAAATTTGGTAAGAAGATAGTTTAAGACACTGAAAAGGACATAAAATACTTTTTATCCCCGAAATCATCCCTTAAGAGGGTGAAAATGGGGATAAAAGTTTGTATGGGGAATTAACCTATCCTATCAAATAAAGTGATGAATTAGTATTTAAAATAATCTCTATTTCGCAGATTTTTGTTGTAAGCGCTGTGATGGCGGTGGCTACTGCAGGTCTTCTGCCTGAGCCTCATTATTCATCAGCTGCTGCAGTTTCGTCTCAAAGCATTGTCCGTCATGACCAGCCTCACGGCATTGTTGGAGCCTCAAGAGCCGTCTACTCCGCCCCCGTGGCCTATCACACCGCCCCCGTCGCCTACAACACCGCCCCCGTCGCCTATCACACAGCTCCCGCCCACTACTCTTCAGCTGCAGCTGTGTCTTCTCAATCCATCCAGCGTCACGATCAACCCCATGCTGCTATCTCAGTTGCTCCCGTTGCCCACTACGCTACCGCTCCCGTTGCCCACTACGCCGCTGCACCTGTAGCTCATTACTCCGCTCCCGTCCACACCGTAGTGGCTAGCCACCAAGAGGAATACGCTCACCCCAAATACGACTTCTCCTACTCCGTAGCCGACGGTCACTCTGGTGACAACAAGTCCCAGCACGAGAGCCGCGACGGTGACGCTGTGCACGGCGAGTACTCGCTTGTTGAAGCCGATGGTTCTGTCCGCACAGTTCAGTACACCGCTGATGCACACAACGGATTCAACGCCGTAGTCAGTAACTCTGCGCCCTCAGGACACGGCCATGCACCCGTACAAATCCTCGGTCATCATTGATTTAGTATTATGAAATTCTATCGGATATATGTATTTATTATTTTTGTACGAAGATAGAAATGATTGAATGTGATGTTTTAGAAATATAAAAAGTTATGCACATCTCGTTTATTTTATTTTTAATTTTAACTCAGTTTTAAAATAGTAGTATTTTCGACATGATTATGGTGCCAAAAACTTTACTAATCCCTCAACGACCGCAGACACGCCGGCGTTACAGTTAACGATAGATTTCTTAGATATTTAATTAATTTCTTAGAAATTTACCAGAAGGTTTATTTACATGCGTGTATATCCAATGCACACAATGCTTTCAACGCAGTGGTAAGCAACTCTGCCCCAGAAAAACATGTTATCGCAGCCGCAGCACACATCCTAACCCACCATTAATTAATTTATTGTATTAATTAATTATTATTTATTATGGACTTAAGAATTACAGCAAATTGATAAATTTATATCATGGTTTTACTCTTTAATTTAATATTTTTTAATGTTTGATATAATATAATAACATTTAGGTTTAAAGATCACTTTTTCCCTTTTAATAACATACATGTTCACTGATGAAAAGTAAAAGTAAAAGGAAAATTTAATGAACTTCGGTTCATGTTCATTTTGATTAGTTTAGGCTATATTTTTTTACGGTACGTTATCATACGATACATTTATAACAGCAAAACGATTTTGAATTTATGACAAAATATCTTTCCTTTTATATTTTAACTTCATATAAAAATAATAAAATTGAGGGTCGAGGCCAAACATATTTCAAGGTTATTTATAAAATAAATAAAACATATTAATAATATTTGAACGTTTACTTATAAAGTAAAATAAAAAAGAAGTGGCACAATATGAAACAATATTTCAATAAAAGAAGATCTTAATAATGTTTTGGGACGATATGATGCGTGGTGAACTTCACATCGGCGTGGAAACTAGAAATAAAAAAAAAACAATATAATGTCAGATGTACGTTTTTAGACAAGTAATTTTAAGTAGCAAGTACTGCAAGATATTGTACCTAAAAATTCAATGCTTCTATTAATCTCTTGGAAATTACATATATAATAATAAACTTAAATATATTAATATTAAACATAAAATATATAAATATATTAATATTATACATAAGATAAAATATATTAATATATTAATACTCAAATGATTACCAGCGTCATTATTGGTGGAGTGAAATCAGATAACTTTTGTCTGGTGCGTGCTCTTTTTTATATAAGGATGAGAAGTATTCTAAGATTCGAATTAGAGTTCCTTATTCCTGTTTAAATTGGTTTAGCCATTACGGAGATTAGCATTAGACCGGACATACATATCCAATGATAAACATGGAGTAGCTATTTAAGTACTTGATTGTTACCCTGTTTTGTGGTCTCCATGATAATGTATGGTCCTCTCAGAGCCATCAGGTTGGTGCAAAGAATAAACGCCCTTCACGACATCACCATCGCGACTCTCGTGTTGGGATTTTATGTCTCCTGTGTGGTGATCTTCCACTTTATACTCAAATATGTATTTAGGGTGGGCCTGTAATGGGTTTATATTGAATATTAATATCAGACTAAGTACTATTATAAACCATAAATAATGAGATATAGAAAAATATAAAATAGTCACCCAAAACAGTCAAATAGGGCTATATAATAATAGGAAGCGAGTATCATATTTTGTGTTTGCAGAATTCGTATTAATGCACCCACATACGAAACTGTAGAACTGAAGTAGGTATCTATACTAATACTCGTATTATAAAGAGGTAAATTTTGTGAATTTGTGACGTTGTACGGGGTAATCTCTGGATCTGCTGAACTGATATAGATGAAATTTGCTAAGAAGATAGTTTGAGGCCCTGGAAAGCACATAGGATAGTTTTTATCCCGGAAATCGTCCTTGAAGGGGGTGAACATGGAGATGAAAGTTTGTATAGGGAATCAACCTAGGGACAAACCCAAACGAAGCGAGGGTTAATCGCTAGTGTATAGATAAATAGATAAAATTCTGAGTCGATTCTTTTTGAAAATCTTGGAAATAGTCACATTATCGATACAGAGGCCGAATCTATAGTTTTTAGAATTTTTGTCTGTCTCTCTGTTTGACAACGCATCACGAGAAAACCACTGGATAGATTTTGATAAAATTCTATACTAAACGTTAAAACGTAAGTTGGGACGAACCCGAGCAAAACGAGAGTGATTCGCTAGTCTATTAATATAGCAAAATAATTTAAACGTACATGGTAGTCGACATGATGGTCATGTACGTGTACTGCTTCAGAGTGTTCGTCATGTCGTGAAATGTGATTGGAAGAAAACGCCGCGTGGTGTCCGTCGAATTCAAATTGAGCCACCGCAATGCTAGCTAATGCAGTAATTAGTATAATCTGAAATAAAAAAATATATATAATTAATAGAGACGTTATAACTATCTATAGTAAATCTATATCAAATTTAAAGTAAATCTTAAGTTAAAGTAAAAAGTGTTGATCAAAATAAAATTAAAATGAAAATGATTTCTTCAGTAACCAAATTACATTCGTTGTCCCAGGTTGACAGTCCTTAAGTTCATAAGTAGTCCTGTGATGGAAGGCCTCACTCTACCACAACAAATATGAGTTAAGCTGTATTTTATTGGAAATGAGTAAAATAAGTAATTTTAGAATATTTGAGTATTTACATACATTATATAAATAAAAACAAGATCATATTTTGCCAGTAAGGTAAGAGCTTTTCGGCGGTTTCAACTGGTTGTTTTGTACAATATGGTCACAAATGAAAGTTTGCCTATAATATAGTGTATTCCGTTTAAGGATTTTTATAATTTTGGAATATATATATATATATATATATATATTTAATTTTAAAAATAAAAAAGTTTTCATAAATAAAAAATTTACCTTGATATACATGGTTATTTTTGTTGACGTTCTGATGTTTTACGGTGAATTCTAAAATCGATGTGGTATATTTCATTAAAATAACAAATCTTATATACTCATTTTAATTGTTATAATAGCTATTTCACTTTCATATGTTAGATACACTTACGTTAAACTTCATGATCCGTTGAACGCAATGCATTAAATTGCGTTTCATGCATGTCCGTTATAAGGTCAATAATTTCTTATTTTTTACATAATTTTTGATTATTTTAATTAATTATGATAATAAGCTAAATTGTCGTAACGGCTGTGTTTACGGTTACGATGACATAAAATGTATTTTGTTACCTTTTTTTTAAATATAGTTATGATTCGCAGACTTTCTTATTCAATTCTATCAATACGCAAACAAAATCATACGCTAAAAGATAACGTGAATACGTAATAAAAAATAATAATTATAAGTTATAAATGTAAGCTTAAACAATGCCTTAACTTTATACTGATTTAGACTTTTTACTAATTACACTTGTATTAATTTATCTATTGATATTAGTTAGAAATAGAAATATGTAAATACTAAGGCGCTTAAACAAATTACTGTAATTTTACAAAATACTAACTCTATAAACCTTAATTATATAAAATTATAGTTTAAAGAACTGAAAAAAACACGCTTCAATAGTGTTGCACTAAAAAGCAAAAAATAATTATTATTAACCAATTCTCCTACTTACACTGTCAGGCTGTATGACTACTAGACTCGAGTACCTACTTATTACCTACGTCTACTTCGTAAGGACTTCAGTTTAAGGCATAAGCCATGTTTGGCAAAAAGGAAGCTTTTTCTTGAAATCTATACATACATATAATAAAAGTGTAACTGATCACTGTCTGTACATTGAAGATATTTGAGTAAAATTATTATTTGGGGGTATTTATTAAAGCAATAGAACCCAAAACAATGATTTTTAGAATATTTGTCTGTCTGTGTTTTGGGTGCGGTTTTCACTAATGTCTTGTGGTAAGCTTCACATAATGTTTAGTGTTGCTTTTATTTCAATTGGTTCATAAATAAAAAAGTTATGTCAATTTAAAGTATTACCCAGATATTAGCCATAACGAAGCGAGGGTGAGTTGCTAGTCTAATAAATTAATATAATATGAGATATTTTGATCTACACAGTAAGAACTAACTACGTGTATCGATCTGCTACTAACTATAATTGCATTAAAGCAAATCTAAGAAAGTATCATGCAAAAGTCGGGAACCAAAAATCAAAATAAATCCGTGAAAAATCTGAAAAAATTGTCTTTATTTTAAAATGACAAATATTCTCATAAATCTAAGAAAGTATTACGAAATATTTTCGTTTCAAAAATATTAATTAGAGGGGCAAGATCGTTTGTTTTCGAATAAACTCATCCCACACTTTTACACTCAAATATCATACTTACTTCCAAACATAGCTTATACTGAAGCCCTTACAGAGTGGACGAGGAGAACATGATGATAATTATCATCACAATTTACAGGTTTATAGTACTGCACTAAAATATGATATCGCATTTTAGTGCATTTTTTTTCTTTTTAACTTTATAGTTACAGTTTACAAAATTATTTTTGTTTTTTTTTCACTTTTTAATGTTAAAATAACCAGTTGAACACATACACATAGTTTGGCGTGCATGCTATTAATCGTTCATTCGTCGGGATCAGCTGTCCTAGCAGGATCATCATGATGATATTATTTTATTGTATATTGATTGACATGATTGGACCATTGTAAGGTGGTTAAATTAGATTTCCAAGACTTTTTTACAAACTCAATTACAGGTGAAGCTAAAAAAGTGTGTTTAATAAATTGCTTGATACTGTGATTAAATGCTTTCAAAAGTAAACAGGCGCTTGACATTTTTAATAATAGAAAGAATTAAGGACGTTTTGATTAGTTTACTTTTAATATTATTAGATATATCTAGAGCATTTTAGTTTATTTTTTCGATATCTCGCATAGTTTTTAGAATATCGATAGTTGTATTTCTCAATTCTAACAAGGATTGTGCTTAAAGTTCAAAGTGACATTGTTCGTATATATAGGAAATCTTTTGCGCCCGGCATGTTAGTTTGTTTTTCTAATTAGCACCAGAAACATTTAAATCTAGAAAAACTCGTACAATTTTGTTGTTGCCGGACGTGTGTTTTTTTTGGATACTTTTACCTATGTATTAGGAATTCTTGTTCTTAAAAATCCTAATTACCTGTTAGATTAGGGCAATTATATATTTTATTATTATATATTTTAATCCAACCCTCTCTCCCCCTCCCTATTTTTTATTAATACTGGAAATAGTAAAATTAAATCTTATAATTAAATCTTATAAGTAAAATAAATAAGTTTTTCATAAATATAGATAATAATTTTGTTCCACATAATAAATTATAGTCCATAACCTCTCTGATCTGATAACTATTGGTGACAGGATTAGTACAATTGAAATGTATAAACAAAAATTGATAAATACAAAAAAATCAACTATAGAAGTTTATAACTCAGCAACTATTAGTTTGAATAAAAAAAACACTTAAAAATTTCTATATCAATTTAAAAAAAACTTTTGGAGAAATATTGCACATGCTAATGTGGAGTTATATTTTCACCTCTTAGTTTCTCATGTAAGGAGGATCACTTCTTTTATATATTTTTTTAATTTTTATCTTCCGAATTGACTAGCATTCTACCTGTTTAGTTCACATATGACACCTATATAGCAAATTTCAGTAATATCCCCAATAATGCCTGAGTAAAATAAATGGACAGATTGATGACATCAATCAGATTATTTACAAGAGCAGAACCAATTTCCCACCTATCTAAACCCCTTTGCAGAGATACTATTTTACAAAGTATACACCAATATGATTTTAAGACTTTTAATATTTTTACTAAGTGCAATCGGAAATTAGGGTTATAGTGTCTCGGATGTTAGCCAAACTTACAAGTCTTATAGAATTAAAATAATCATACAAAAGTTTTTAAAAATTAGTTAAAATAATGTGATTGAAGGAGAACTATTATAAAATAAAATAGTAAGTTATGTATACTTATTTAATTTATATTTTCTATTATTATATTTAAGGTACATGAATTAAAATAGGCTGACTAGTGATGATAGGAAGGGGCTTCGTGTGTGTGAGCATGTGTGGCGTGTCCCTCACGGTGAACCACGGCATTAAATCTGAGGAAAGAATGCAATCATAATTTATAATCGAATTAAAATCTGTTAAAATCCAAACTATATTAACTCTACTAAAGATCGTACATACTGACCTAGTACTTTTTAGGACTTAAATCGTCACATTCTCTCGAGTGCTCTACATAGTCACTTACACATACAAAAACATACATACAAACTTTCGCATTTATACTATTATAAACACACATATAATACTATTAGTGTAATAATATTTTTTTGCCAAATCCTTTCAGTAGTACAGAAGATGTACTGCGCCGACCCCGAGTGATTGGGAAATGGGCAGGGAGAAGAAGAAGTGTAATAAAAATTAAAAGAAAATTGTCTTACCCGCTGTGCTTGTCAACGGTATATTCAACACGGCGCACGGTACCGTCAGGTTCGTGAAGGCTGTAGAAGCCGCGGACGACGTCTCCCTCTCGGGTCTCGTGCTGTGACTTAATGTCTCCTGTGTGGGGATCCTTCACTTCATACTCAAATCCGTAATGAGGTGGTGACTGTGAAACAAATTAGATTTATAAACGTATTATATACCTGAGTAATTTTTTTTTATTAAGTTGGGACATTGACACACATCACCATCTGGTTCCATGATAAGCTACGAGGCTTGTGTTATGGATACCAGATAGTTGATACACTACACATATATAACTTTAAATACATACATATTATAAATATAATAAATGAATGATGTAATAAACCTGAGATTCTCAATTTTGGTAATTTGCTTATTTATATGTCCTCCAAAGGGTTGTTGTGTTAGTATTACATATTCATCTTAATGTTACGATAATATAATAATAATAAGCACTACCTTAAAATTATAAAATCCTTTAGAGAGCAATCGATACTAAATACTTTTAACCTACAAAACGCTTTATAACGTTCAATAATTACCTTATAATATAATAAAGAGTTAGGAGTCAGAAGGACTCCTGATCGATTTCAACCAGGGCGACCAATTTCAATGAGTGCGAACCCAATTGCATTTTTTATTCTTTTATTTTTACTTTCAAAGTCAGATGGACGAACATTCCATTGCTAGATAGAAATACCCAATAGCTACACTTGGGTTGATCCCGGACTCGAACCAGGACCTTTAGATCTGTAGCCGTACATTCTAGCCACTATACCAACGACGCACTGAAAAGGTGTGATAAGTAATTACGCAGTGAAGTTACGTACGTAATAGTCGTGGTGGGAGTCGTGGTGAGAGTCATGGTGAGAGCCATGCGTAGATTGATGATCACCGGCAGATAGATGTGCGTATTCTTGGCTTTGGTGGAGTACTATGTTTTGAGATGATTCATGACCATGTCCGTGACCGTGACCACTACCATGTACATAGCTGTTATACTGTGCAGAAGCAACCGCCACTACAGCCGCTATGCAGACAACCTGTGGATGGATTTATGTTACTGTTAGTTATTGATAATAATAACGAGATTTTATGTCAATTTCATCATATTTAAATTATACATACTATTATTAAATTATATTATTAGATATTTTTAAGTAAATTTACAATCACACATACCTTTAAATACATGTTGGTTTTTGGTTGTTTATTTGTTAAGTTTATAAAATTGAATGATAATTTAACTTCGTATTCAACATATTTATATACAATAGCAGTCAGAAAGAAATGGAAAAGATTAAGTAATATACATTAAAAGTATATAATAAAAATTATGTAATTGGGTTTACATTAAAATTATGGACATAAACGACCAATTGCTCTCAATATTCGTTTTTTTTATCTGTCAATATTTCTTGACCAACTTCAAAAAAGGTATATATTACATTCGGGTGCTTTTGTGTATGTTATGTTTGTAAAGATGTTCTCGGAACTAAGGGTGCAAGTTATAATATGATACTGGTGTCGGTCTTTTCTGTGGAAAATATTTAATTTTTAGAGTACAAAAACAGACTAAGAGTCTTTAATGGTCTTCAGATCTCCTAAGAACAAAGCTAAGTATCTACTAGAAAAACTGCCCGACGCCACGCGACAACCCAGGACAGAGAATTTTTGCAATCTAAGGGAAAGAGCAGAGGAGAAGAAAAGTATTTTGTTTTGTAATTATTTATAATATATTATTTAACATCTTATGTCTAATAAAATAATAGGCTTTTGGATATCCCAAAAATCGTTTTACAAAATCGTTTATTTAAAACTTTCTTTAATTGCTTACATAAAACTGAAGATTGTAAATTAACTGGATTTTCGTGGAACAGAGATTGTGCCATCGGAATCTTAAAGTAATGCTGCAAGAAATCTTTAAATTGGAAATGTTCGAGAAAAATAGTTGAAATCTAAAAAAAATATTATAAAGTAAGCATATATATAAAGCATGCATATATATAAAGCAAGCATATATATAAAGCATATATATAAAGCATGATATTACTATCAATGGACAAAAAGAACCGCCAGACTTACGTCATTTCAGCAAAGCTGAAATTTTATGAGCTTACATTACATAGGTATATTAAAGCGGCAAATTAGTATTAATTAGTTACACTTACATGTTACTGTCATAAGCTTAAAGTTTGTTTTAACTTAAAAAAATCCCAACCTGACGCCTGACGGTGTTACAAATGCCATTAAAAAATTAAGCGACACGACGTGGCTTAACTAATGTTTAATGCCTATTCTATAAGGGCAATATATGCTTATATAATAGAAAACATTAAATTGGTAATCCCAATCTTCTCAACTTTAATTTTTCCATTAAATGATTTATATTATAATTACACAATATTTTGACTTACTTTGAGTAACTTCGACTTTGTTTCTCTATATGGTTAATCAACCCAACTTTCTTTTACTTGCCACATATTGTGATTTTAATTATTGGTTAAGGTAAGTATGTTGACAATAATCGATTCTTAAAATCTGAGGTTATATTAAAAATACACTGTTATTACATTATTCTCATAGTTAAATTTCACAAAATTAAAAATATCAAAAAAGGCTTAAAAAAAATCTTTTTCATATTATTTTATTGCTTTTTAAGCCCATTGGTCTTGTCGTTGTTATATCAGTCAGTAAAAACATAAATATAAAATATAGTATTTGATTGTGTGTATATATATATATATATTTTTAGTTTAGAATATAATACATAAATTGTAGTAGGTTTATTTCTAAAAGAATGGGAATAATACGACCAATTTAGTATCTTTGTGAAATTATATAATATTGATGGAATTTTGGTTTTTGATTATTTGTTATAAATAAAAATAATTTATTTATATTCATACTTTAATTATTCCAACACAAAATGACTTAATACATATATACAAAATTTCATTTGTTACAAATAATCGTTAATCAATTATAAATTAATGATTTTTGTTGAAACACACTCAATAATGATGATGAGGGACCAGGTGGTGAGTATCATATTTCACATCCGCATGGAATCTAAAAGAAAAAAAAAACATTTATACACGAAACAAGATAAAATTTTGTAAAAAAACGGGAGTAATATTCTACAATTTTACAATATACCATATTTTATGTACTCAAAAAATAAATGATAGATATTTTTTGCTATTTTATATATCGAATGAAATAATTTAAAAGTGTTATAGCAAACAACGCAGAAAGACTTCTTAAGATAAAATAATACAAAATCTTTACCCAGTGTGATGGTCACCATGATAATGCACTGCTCTTTCAGAGCCATCAGGCTGGTGCAGAGCGTAGTATCCCTTCACTACGTCGCCGTCGCGGCTTTCGTGCTGAGACTTGATGTCGCCGGTGTGGTGGTCCACTACTTTGTATTCAAAGTCATACTTAGGATGCGTCTAGAAGTGTATATTTCTCATTAGATTTATCAAAAAATAATAATATGATACTTACTAAAGCAAATAAAGCTATCCTTTTTAGTCGTTTAATAAATTGTAGTTATTACAGAAGTCAGTAAAAAAAAATGAGAATTTGACCACCACAAAATCCGAAGGGATATTTAAAAATATAAATATTCGCGTAAATCTAAGGAAGTATAATGATAATTAATATTATATACGTATTACAGTTTTGTGCATTATAATATTGTGTGGATATTTACAAAATAGTCGATGTGATCATGTCCATAGTCATGTACTGTTTCTGGATGTCCATCGTGACGAGAGATATGTTGAGACGAGTATGCTGCTCCATGTTCATATCCATATTGGGCTACTGTAACCGCCACTAGGGCATAAAAGCAAATGACCTAAAACAAAAATAGTTATTTATTAATTTTCTTTCTTATGCTACAATTTTAAACAATGGTTACTTTAAGTCTGTTGTGTGTGTTCAGCTCTTTTTAGCGCTCACTGCTGGGCACGAGCCTTGCTTCAATACGAGGGGGCACAATCCACGCTGGCCAAGTGCGAGTTGGCGGACTTCACATGTCTTTCGAAAATTTGATAGGTTCTCTCTGACATGCAGGTTTTCTCACGATGTTTTCTTTCACCGTAAGATAAGTGGTAATCATGTTGGAAATGATTCTGGGATTTGAATCCGCTTCACAAGGTTTTCCAAGCGAGCGCGTTAGCACTGGGCTACCACCATTAAGTCTGTTGTAGTTTTATTATATAATATAATATTGTTTTCGAAATAATACCTTAGCGAACATTTTGTAGTAGTATAATAGGACGTTGTGTTATGAGAGACTAAAATTGAACTTATATGATTTACAAACAGCTTACACTTTTTATATTAGTAGCAATAGCAAATAATCAAGGTTTATGGGTCCTTCACTAATTCAATAGAAATCAATTTTTTTGTTCGTAATGTGATTGTTCTGTGACACGCGAAATTTTTTAACAAGAAAAAATGAATAGGTAACTATTTATAAAATTTTAACAATTCAGCTAGGTTTTTCCATTGCTTTGTTCTTTTGAAGTGACAATCATAAATACATATTATATATTCGAATTATTAGCAATAACTGAGCGTAGTAAGTGTACATTTACAATAAATCAGATTTTCCTAATCAGATTTTTTTTATGTATGTAAGTTAGTGTCAGCCAACGGAAAGCAAACAAAAATTATCTACTAAGATAATAGAATAGAAGATAACTTAAACTATAGTCTAAATTGCCATCATACATAAATCTAATTAATAAAATCAAACAAGTATACATACAAATATACATACACACAGACACATAGATATACATATTACTTAACATCTAAATTGTCAATTGTTATTACATATCAAGGTTTAACGATTTCTCAAACTATTAGTCACACTAATTATAAGCTATGATCAGTGACATGCACTTGTTGCTTTACGTTTTCTTTAAAATATTTTTTACAGTATATTTGATATAAAAGATGTGGATTATAGCAGCATATTATCAGTTGTATTTTATTCTCTAAACCAAAACAATATACATTACCTCATAATGTTTTCTAAGGTATTGTTTTATAAGTAATTTTATAATAATTTTATAAATTACAACAAATCCCAAAGAAATGTTTGTTTTATACGCTTAGAATATGTTATATTATTTCATTATAAAAATACATATATGTTAAATAATCATTTAGATTTTAACAAGGCATACATTTTATATTTTAAGGTTTTGTACTTTGCTGCTCTTATCGCTGTTGGGCTCGCCCAATATGGATATGATCATGGGGAAGCTTATTCGTCCCAGCACATCTCCCGTCATGACGGACATCCTGAAATTGTGCATAGCAGTCACAGTCACGACTACTATGTAAGTACATATGTAGAAAATATGTTTAACCGATTATTAATATTGTATGTGGAGGAGACAGTATAATATCCATGGCTTATCTCTCCGTGCCCATTTGCTATTCAGTCATTTTCTTGAAATAATTAATGATACATAGTTAATACATAATTTTGTTAATATATTATGTATTAATATTTCTCATTTTAGACTCATCCTAAATATGACTTTGAATACAAAGTAGTGGACCACCACACCGGCGACATCAAGTCACAGCACGAGAGCCGCGACGGCGACGTAGTGAAGGGATACTACGCTCTGCACCAGCCTGATGGCTCTGAAAGATCAGTGCATTATCATGGTGACCATCACACTGGGTAAGGGACTATATTTAATAGTAAACTGGATTCTGCCCGTACATTCGCCTGTGTGAAAAGTGTTTACTTATCTTTCTATCTAATTATATTAATAATATTAACAACTTAACTATCCGCAAAATAGACACAATAGTTAAACAAACTAAATGTTCATACATTTGACAGGGAAAAGGTTAAAGTCAATTATATAATAGTACACCATTTCATTGGGACGCATTTCCGGAATAAAAATATATTATATCTTTAATCCGGAATTGACATATGATTAAGTAACAAATATTCTTGCAATATCATCACAAACTTAAAATATTTATAATATTCTTGTATATATCTTCACGTATAAGTTAATGTAACAATTTTCTTCATATGTTCTTAAATTTTGTGGAAGTTATAAAATATTAATCGTTTATTTTTTGTTTTAGCTTCCATGCTGATGTCAAATATGAAACACACCACATGATCCCTGAACATCATTACTAAATATGGCGGCAATTGTTATAGAAATATACTATACTATACGTGATAAAGAATAAAGCTATTTACACTATTATTTTAGTGTACATAATTATTGTGTTAATTTTTTTTTATATAAAAATATTAAAGACATACAATATTTTTTTTAATTAAAATTATAGTTAAAGCACATAAATTATGTTTTATCAAAAGTAATACCTGAGGTCAAAATTCACTCAATATATATTTGTATGATGATTGAATTGAACATAATATAGCCGTATCTCTGAAATGATTAAGTTGCTCTCATTTTCTTATAGGCTTTTAGAAAAAAAAAGTACAAGTGCCTACCGTAGTAAAATCCAAATCTTATGAATTGATTTAAATGAAAAATTAGTGCTGTTATACAAAACCTTAAGATAAAATGTTTATTTATTAAAAAAAATTTAAGTTTAATAAAAAAACATGTTTTTTTTTATTTAACTCTCATTTAAATATTTTTTATAAATATAGCAAAAAGTATATTGTAACAATCATTTTATGCTATCAAAAAAAAAAACAAATTTAAAATATTGGACGCAAAAGTGGAACCTGAAAGGCTTGAAATTAAGTTTATTAAAAGTATTTTAATAAAAAATATTTTTTCCTCTATTATATAATAAAATAAACTCCAGTACATTAATTATCGTCTTTAACTTAACATTTAGTTATAAAACGAAATAAATTTTTAAATAAAAAAGGATTTATTTAAAATGATTTCTTCAATTTAGGAAAAGCTACATAATATGATGAATGTTAATTTAGTGTGCCTGTGTTTTTGTGTTTCTTGCACTTCGCCAGCTTTTACTCTACAAAATAAACACATCAAAGCTATTTCAGCGGTGAACAAAGAGAATATACAAACACTTGATTGGGTTTTAATTATACATTATTATGTGCTTATGATTTTTTTTCAAATAGCCTTTGTTGACATGTTATATGTGAATTCATCTCTAATTTTTTTAGAAACATTTCTCAAAGTAGACCTCTAAGTAACTATCAATATTCCACACATGTCATGATAATGACGAGACCATATTTTATGTTTTTTTTTGTTTTCACGATGCTCTATATTTAAGAAAATTATATGTATCATCTTACAATTTACCTTAATAAAATATAATAGAAACAAGTGAGATCGGTTAACCAGTCTCTGAGAGAAATCGTTGAACCCTCTTTAAAAAATATATACTTGACAAGAATCAAACAATATCAATTTTTTTCGATAGAATTATAGATACGTTTCATTTTGAGTGGCAAACATTTGCCAAATATGTATATCGTGTGGTATAAATTTAAAAGTGAGATTCAATTCTTGTTTAATTGAATTGACGTGTTATTCCTTATAGTTTGTAGGACATTGTGTACTAAGACTATATCCCCCTACAATATACAAATCTACCTTGAGCTTAGCTAATTTTAAATTTGCTTGATGGTAAAACTGTAATTGTATCGTTTATTTATTTTTACAGTGCATTTGATTTGCGCTTGGCATACTTTAACTGAACTTAAATAAGTCATCCTTTGTTGCGAGTGCTTATGTACTCAGCCTTTTTTAGCGTCCCACTTCTGGGCAAGGGCATCCCTTCTATACGAGGGAAATCAGGGCATAGTCTACCACACTGGCTAAGTGCGAGTTGGCGGACTTCACATGTCTTTTGAAAACTTGCTAGGTTCTCTCAGACATTCAAGTTTCCTCACAATATTTTCCTTCATCGTTAAGAAAAGTGGTAATCATGTTGGAAATGATTAGCACATAAATATCAGAGGTGCGACTCGGGATTTGAAGTTTGAACTCGCTTTACTCGGTTTCCCAAACGACCGCGTTACCACTGGGCTACCCCTGCCTTTGCGAGTGCTTAAATCAATATATATTTAAGAATTTCAAAATGTTATCCATTTTATTAGATAGCGCTTTATTCTCGCTTCCCACGGATGTGCCCCTAAGTATCTTTTTGGCATGTATAATATAGCGTTATTTCAAATTATTTAGTCACCGATAAAGCATCTCCATTCAAACACATTATTCTCCATTTAAATTAGTTATTATATTTTGATCAGAATAGAAAATAGCCTGTACACTCTTTGGTGATATTTCATAATAGAATGAAGTTTTTTTGAATTTGAATCGGAGTGGTAGATTTAGAGGGGGTATCCCCTCCAAATTACTTTAAACTTAAAAATTTACTTTTTAAAATTTGTGTAGTTCTAGTATGCTATAAAATAAATAAAACTATTATTTTTAGTCATTTAGTAAGGTTCAGTTCATGTGTAAAAATATGCCTCAGAAAGAAATCGTAGTTATAAAGTTAGTAGTTATAAGGTTATGTAAAACAGTATATTATTTAGATGTGTTTATTTGTACAGTAGGTAATATTAAATGACATAATTAGATGCAAAAACATAAACAAATGACAAAAATAAAAACAATAATATAACTATTTATAATTTTCTTTATTATTAGGCATATTAAACGCTTATCACAGTATGCTTAAGAAAACTGTTCGTATTTAATAATGATGTTTGGGGACCAGGTGATGAGTGTCATATTTCACATCAGCGTGGAATCTAGAACAAAATATATTATAAAGAGATCCATCAAGTAAATTGTATTGCTACTATATATTGCGAATTCAATTCTATAAGCAGATTCAGCTAATGTTTTAATAAAAAATCGATCTGGCATTTTGTACCGCCACTAAAAACACGTTTTGTTTTTTCAAAGAAAGAATGATAACGGTAACAAAGTCATTGTACTTTAATATATTTACCTCGCTAGGTTAAGAGTATATATAAGAACAATTCTTACCCGGTGTGATGGTCACCATGATAATGGACTGCTCTTTCAGAGCCATCAGGCTGGTGCAGAGCGTAGTATCCCTTCACTACGTCACCGTCGCGGCTCTCGTGCTGGGACTTGATGTCGCCGGTGTGGTGATCTTCTACTTTATATTCAAATTCGTATTTAGGATGAGTCTGAAACCATTATAAATATTAAGCATATTTTATATTTTTCCATTTATCACCACACCACAACGAGGTGTGTTGTTTTTGGTTAAAAGTGTTAAAATAACTTACATAATAGTCTACGTGATCATGACCATGACCACCATGTGCGTGTATGACCTCGGGATGTCCGTCGTGACGAGAGATGTGCTGCGATGAGTAAGCTGCACCGTGCCCATGTCCATATTGGCCAGCCGCTAATACGACAAGTGCGGAGAAACATACAATCTAAAATTTGAATATATTTTTAAATAAAAGTCGTATTAAGTGTTTGTAATTAGGTATTCTTAAACGGGTTTAACGATTTTATAGATATTTTTTTGGGTAATTATGGGGTCTCAGATGTTGCTTAAATTTTCGATTGAACGAGGTTTGTGGCGGGACAAAGTCTGACGGGAACTCTAGTTGTATTATGAAATTACAGATTTACTTCATTGTTTAATTATTTAAAGTATTCAGCTATTAAATTAATAAAAGCTAATACAATAGAAATTATATAATATAAAAATACTCTATTAATAAGAAATTAAATAAAAAAAAACACAACATAATAATCTAATAGCAATAACCAAACGGCTAAACGGATTTCCTTGATTTATACTCTAGCTAAGAATACTCTCGACTAAGTCACCTTTCAAATAAAATAAAAAAACTAAATTAAAATTGTTTCATCCATTTGGGTGCTACGACGCCACAGACAGACGCACATGTTAAACTTATAACACTTTTACGACGGGGGTTAAAAAATTAAAGCTTATTTTTTAGATAAATAAATAAATATAAGTTTTTTAATATAATTGAACATACCTTAGTAAACATTTTGTTAGTGGATAATGTTTTTGTTTCTAATATAAAAACTCAACTGATATGGTTTGACTAAAACTCACGTCTTTTATATTTACCACAAAAGCAACTATGCAAGGTTTATTATTTCACTCTCCGTAATTGCTAGTTTAAATATTATCAGTTGCAACGTATATTAAAAAATTTGCAAGCGTGTCTCAATCAGTGTACAAGCTATAGTTAATGGTGTACAAACAGTCTATGACAGGCAATAAAACTTTTACTGTAGGCCTAATGAAATTTTAATCAATACTTGACAGAAAAACTGTAAACCTATAAAGTTTATAATTAATAAGTAAATAATTTTCTTATTCAATGAAACGATAAGTTATATATATTAAAAACTCTTTCAAAAATAAAAAAAAAAATTAAAATTGTAATTTTTATAATTATTAGAATCAAAATAAAGAACTGATTTAATTTTTTATAGTAAACTAGCGGCTCACCCTCGCTTTGCCTCTAGAAAAACAAAAGCAAATCTATCCCTCGGGAACCGTATATTTTTCCGGGACAAAAAGTAGTTATTATATACATACAAACTATAATCTATCTGTGTGCCTAATTTCATCCAGATCCGTTCAGTTACATCCATGCATACATTCTTAGAATAAATACGAGTAATATAAATACTTTCGCGTTTATAATATTAGTACGACTAATATGGTAAATCGAATTCAAAGGGGTTTTTTCATGATTTATATGATGACTTTACTGTAAAAAGAATCCTGAGAACTTGAATACATCGCCTTACATATACAAAAATATATATTGAGAAAGTGAATATGGCTAAAGCAATTAAGCAATGCCTTTACGATAACAATATGCAGTATATTATTTATAGTAAATTAGTGTTCAAAATAATAAAACATTTTTTTATTATTGCCTAACCTCAGGTTAAGGACCGAGTGATTGCTTTACAAAAAATATAATAATGAAATTTTGCTGCAGTAACTAGAATAATTAAAAATATTGTCGTAACAATTTTTAACTACTAAACATTTTAAATAAAACTGTGTTCGGATTATTTCCCGGATTTATTAAAAATTTTGGTGCACGACGTTTTGAATGCTCAACAGCAATCATGTTCACGGGAGGGACTAAGGTTTTAGACGTCTCAAAGGCGTAATACACTTGTTACAGTCAGTGTCACCTACAATATAGTTTACCTTAATTTATTGTGTATCCTATTGTTTTATTTCGGGGCTTTTTTTTGGGTAGTTTTGGCTAACTTGTTGGTTCAAATGACGTTATATCTTCGTAAAAGTTTTTTTTTGCTACTGAAATAGATATTTTGCTATTTACTTCTAGTAATAATATAAAAGCGGAAGAAACCATTACCAATACCTACTTAAGAACTGAATTCTATTAGATTACGAATCTATAATATTATTTGCTTGGAACATGTTGTGTCCGAAGGAATGATAGTATTTCACCTTTTGAAAATAATATCATTCACCCACGTAGAGTAAACAAACAAACGAAAGTATAATAAAAGTTAAAATAAAACATATTAATTGAAAAAAAGGCAAATACCATACTTCTTTTATGTGTAGACCATGGACGAATTGTGGTTAATTCGTTCATGGTGTAGACTATATAAAATGTACCTACATTTTATGAACCGACTTCCTCAAAAAGGAGGAGGTTTTCAATTCGGCTGTATGTTTTTTTTATGTTTGTTACCTCAGAACTCCGTCATTTATTAACCGATTTGGACAATTTTTGTTTTGTTTGAAAGTGTATACTTCCAGATTGGTCCCATTTAAATTAAAAAAAAATACCACCCCTAAGGGTGGAAAATAGCTAATGATGAATTTAACCTACTTCTAATTGTCATATTGACTTGAAACTTTGCAAGTGTTTCTATTACCGTTGATAGTACAGTGGTTCGGTATTTTTGACCTGATCCCTTGATCTTTCAAACAAAACCAGCCAGGTGCCAGCCGATACAAAGCAAAGCACACCGACTTCGAAAATATTTGATTAGGTATGTATTTAATAGGTAGGCTTTAGTTACTTAGCCAAAGCACACCGACTTCGAAAATATTTGATTAGGTATGTATAGTAAATGAAAACTACCAATCAGTTATTTTTTACTTTTTAGTGCTTTTGTTTGAATTCGGTTTTTATTTTTTTGTTATTTTTTTTAACTTGTTGTTTTAATAATATCTACTATAATAATTACAAGTTTTATTTTACATACTGCTTTTACTTATTTTAGATTCACTTTAATATACCTGAGCCTTACCACATTTCAATAATTTAAGAGTGGTTGAACCATACTAACTATTGTGACGGGTTGAAGGCCTCCTGTCCAATAAATAAGCCACGAGTAAGCACGTGTTAACTTTTTTTTAAATGAATCTATTATTATTAATATTTGATTAAACTTTCTATTTGCTACTGTTTGCTATTTTTTATTAAATCGATTTATGAATCGCTAATATTTTTATTTTTTATTACATTAATTAGCTGTTTTAATTTATTGCCAGAGCAAAACTCGACACATCAACTTCGACGAGGAACATCACCTGATGAGTTATTACCACATGGTAATAGTTTTTTGTTGTTGCATTAAATGTCTATTATAGAATATTGTAAATGAGTTTTCCGTTCCCTTAATTAAAAAGGTAATACTAAATACAACAAAGAAGTAAGTTTAAATTGAACTAGAAATAAAATGTCCAGCAATAAAATTGGCATCATTAAAATTCTAAGCAAAAGAAGTAAACCAAATCATCAGTTCTGATGATATCCAATATATTTTTTCTTTATTTTTCCTGTCTCTATTTGTTTCTATCGGGGAAGCTACACGATATCTTATAAGTTTTAAAAATGTAGAATTACTTACTATATATAATATGAAATAAAAATTTCATTTCATCTGACTACTATTATAAATGCGAATGTCTGTATATATGTTTTCTTCACTTTTTTTTCTTCACTTCAAATTTAGTTCACAGAAAGACTGAAGTATCACATAGAGTAATGGGTCATAGGGTAAACGGCGTGTATAATTAGCAAACAATTTATTAAATATTTCATTATGATAAATATGATTTAAATTATTAGTGTTTTGGATACTTTATTTATTTATAAAAAAAATATCATTAATTAAGATCTATAATTAATAATGTAAAATACAATATATAAAAATATATTATTAAACGTGTAGGTTAAAAATATTATAGTAAAATAAATATTCACATTTTTTGAAGTCCTTTATTGCTTTTATAAACATTTTTTGGTAAATAATATTTTATTATTTTACATTGTTTAAAAATTAAAAACAACACAAATATTGTTTTAATCTAAGTAGATCACAGGGTTTGTACATTGAATTGTAGTAAATTAATAATGATGTTTCGGAGCCAGGTGATGAGTGGCGAATTTCACATCAGCGTGGAAGCTATAAGAGTAAAATTAATGTGTTAACACCACATACTTCATTCATTTTCTTACTTAAAATATATTAGTAATATTATTGTTATTCCCAAGGAGGGTTAAAGTCAGGTAGGCGGCCGGTCGTAAAACTTTTACCAAATCCTATCAGCAGTACAAAAGATGTACTGCGTCGACCCCAAGTGATTGGGAAATGGGCAGGGAGAAGAAGAAGATTGTTATAAGTCATCAGTCAATAAGTCAATTGTTATTCTAACGTGATATTAACTTAATATAATTATGATAAAATAAGTAAAGCATATTAACAGGCAGCATAAAATAAACTAACTTACCCAGTGTGATGGTCACCATGATAATGCACTGCCCTTTCAGAGCCATCAGGCTGGTGCAGAGCGTAGTATCCCTTAACTACGTCGCCGTCGCGGCTTTCGTGCTGAGACTTGATGTCGCCGGTGTGGTGGTCCACTACTTTATATTCAAAGTCATATTTAGGATGAGTCTGGAAATTATACAAGTTAAAGCTTAGTTTTTTTTTGTTTTTGTCCTTAAAGGGTTTTTGCAATAATTGTAATGAAGCTAAGTTTAATGTAAAATATGATATAGTTAAATGCTAAGTGATGCAAACAATTACTTACGTGATAGTCTACGTGGCCATAATCATGACCATGGCCATGTCCGCCATGTACTTGGAAGATTGCAGGATGACCGTCGTGACGAGAGATGTGTTGCGATGAGTACCCATGGCCATATCCATGTCCATATCCATGTCCATATTGGGCAGCCGCAAGTGCGACAAAAGCAGCAAAGCACAAAACCTGTTAATTCATAATAAATTTATAAGATAATACAATAATAGTATCATTTTAAAGTGTTTGAGTTGGAAATTTCTAACTAAAATTTTTGTTTACACGTCAATATTTTCATTTATTATTATTAAAAATATTACCTTAGCAAACATTTTGAATAATAGATATTGTTATGGTTTCTAAAACTCAACTGATGTATTGTTGCTAGCACTCACGTCTTTTATATTATTCACAAGGGTAAGTAGCCGAGGTCTATTGGTTTCACTCCATTTTATATTTGGTAATATTGACGCCATCGCGTGTGCTCATGAAATTTAAAGTCGCAATATCTAATCAAGATATTTTAATTATAATAAGCTAAGTCTCTTATGAAAATTTCATGCTTATAATTTTATTATACAGTTACAAAATAACATTATTACTTCTACTACTAACGTTACTCGAGTAAAAATGGACAATTGTACTGAATCTCTCAATATACATTTTTTATATATGTACTTACGGTATAGTTGTGGTTATGTATATAACTCAAAAACCCTTAAATTAAAGTTTGAACAATGATGCCGCTTTTTTTCAGACAAATTTCAGCCAAATAATAAAATATGTATTGCGAAAGCGTAAAAATTTTTTTGGTGTGTAAATATGTTAGTAAACATAACATGATATTCGACGGTACGGAACCCTGGTTGGACAAGTCAAAATCATATGACACGTTTGAAAATGATTAAAGCCATGAAATTATTAGTTATAATATAAATCCAAAGTGTTTGTGTTTTTGTAGTTTGAACAGAGGTGAATTTCGATAAAATTATGAAAGGAAATCTGTGTGCTCTTTTTTCACTTTTCACGCAAATCTCGTAAATGGATTTTGATCAAATTTTGTATTACGGCACAATAATTATATTGCGGCACAAAAATGTAGGGTATTTTTCCCTAAAAGGACAAAATGGTGTTTTTCCCTAAAGGTCTTCTGGAAAAAGACAAAAGAGCTGAAGGAAAATTCATGAATTTTGCAGAAGCTATTGTATTGAGTTTGATAAAAATTAGCATCATAACTAATAACAATAACTACCTAAGTAATTTCATATAATAGTGTATACTAGAGGAATACAATGACGAATGGGTGTCCCTGTGAAGTAAGAAAATAGTTTGTAAAATAAAAATTAACAAAACTACATATATCTTAAATCGGCAAGACTATTAATCGTCATGTCATTATTATTTATATTTCTGCTCAAGGAAATTGAATAGATTCAAAGGAACGGAATATCGAAATCGGGGTGATCGGGAAAAGTGACCTTACCTATTTGAACTTCGTACCGAGGGCACGTAATAATTTTTGCACCATGATGGGCTTAATAATAATGTGGAAAGCGAGGAGCGAAGCCATCATACATTTATATCTATATAGTTAGAGCAAATCATCGATTCATAAGGTAGTGGAAGTTCATTGGTTACGCGCTCGCTTGGAAAATCAAGTGAAGCGGATTCAAATCCCGAGTATCGCACGTGAGATATTCTTATGTGCTAATGATTTTCAATATGATCACCACTTTCTTATATGTTGAAGAAAAACATCATGAGGAAACTTCCATATCTAAGATAGAACCCGACTTGTTTTTGAAAGACATGTGAAGTCCGCTACTTGTCCAACGTGGTGGATAATCATCTAAACCTCCTCGTATTAAATCGAGGTCCGTGCTCAACAGGGGCATGTAGTTAGTCAGTAACCCAGGCTGGGTTAAAAAGAACTGAATACTTGGATAAATTTCTACCTATGAATATAATACTTTTAAACAGTGTCTTTGAACGAAGTTCAATACTAAATGTATTTTCATCTGACTATAAATACAATTTATACTATGATTCTTTTCCTATCATAGACTAGTATTGCCCGCGGCTCCGCCCGCTCAGATGACCAAAAACCATGTTCTTAAGTTTTACATATTAGTATACTCTGCATTGCAGTTTTTCTATTTTTTCTCAGAAATGATATATTTTCCCGCGGTAAAAAGTATCCTATATGTTGACCCGGATAACCAGCTACCTTCATACCAAATTTCATCAGAATCTCTCCAGTGGTTTTTCCGTGATGCGGTAACAGACAGACAGACAAAAATTCTAAAAAGTATAGATTCGGCCTCTGTATCGATAATATTGTCTATTGTAATAAGATTTTTCAAAAACTATTTAATGTACAGATTGGGCTTAGTTAGAATTTTATTATATGTATAGATGAAAGTTTCCCGTGAAAAAAATATACTCTATCACTATATAAGCTCAAACTATTATTACACTAAATGAATATTATTAATAGATAGCAATTAATTTATTTAATTACAAAACCACAATTAAAAATATAGGTACGTATAATTTTTAAACAATATACATATTATGTAAATTATTATGTATTTAGAATACTTTGTTACTTAACGTAGGTAAATATTTATTAGTAGAAGCGAATTTAAAAAAAATGCACAAACTTGTAAAAGTCAATCAAAAAAATTATATTATATTTAATAATTCTTTATTGAAAGTAGCAAACAATACAAGTATAATAATCAAACAGTTGATATAACAAAATCACAATCACACATATCACAAGATGCTCTATTGATGAAAAGGCAGCTTATCCGTTAGTAATAATGTTTCGGGGCCAGGTGATGAGTGTTGAATTTCACATCAGCGTGGAAGCTATAACAACAATTATTATTACTATTAATTAATCAATACATATTTCTACGTTAAAAAAATATAATAAAATCATACATTAATAAATAATAATAAAATGTATATTATAATAATATTGACCATGTATTGAGACTAACTTACCCAGTGTGATGGTCGCCGTGATAGTGAACAGCCCTTTCAGAGCCATCAGGCTGGTGCAGAGCGTAGTATCCCTTTACTACGTCGCCGTCGCGGCTTTCGTGCTGGGACTTGATGTCACCGGTGTGGTGATCTTCTACTTTGTATCCAAAGTCATATTTAGGATAAGTCTGAAAATTATGATAAGTTTATAGCTTTAGTTTTAGGTGTTCTATAAAAATTACAATGGTAATGTTAATATAAAATAAAATATATCGGAAAATGATCACCTACGTGGTAATCTACGTGGCCATAATCATGACCATAACCATGTCCGCCATGTACTTGCACGATTTCAGGATGTCCGTCGTGACGAGAGATGTGCTGCGATGAGTACCCATGGCCATACCCATGGCCATACCCGTGTCCATATTGAGCAGCCGCAAGTGCGACAAAAGCAGCAAAGCACAATACCTGTTATGTAATAATAATTAAATTATTTTAGTCGTAAAAGTAATAATCAGATAATACAGTAATAGTACAATTTTAGAGAGTTTTCGATAAATATTTCTTACTAGAATTTATATAATATATTATTAATAAAAATTCAAATATACCTTAGCGAACATTTTGAATAATAGATATTGTTATGGTTTCCAAAAGTTAACTGATGTATTGTTGCTAGCACTCACGTCTTTTATATTGTTCACAAGGGTAAGTAGCCGAGGTCTATTGGTTTCGCTCTGTTTTATATTTGGTAATATTGACGCCATCGCGTGTGCTCATGAACTTTAATTTTGAAATATCTAATCAAGATACATATAATTATAATAAGCTAACACTTTCATAAAATTTTCATGTTCATAACTTTATTATACGAATTTTATTTTAATGATATAACGTAATATATGTACGTTACGTACTCGAGGCTAAAATGAATAATTTTATTAACCTATAATATATGTGCTATAACTTCGGTTAATAATATATATCTTCTATATAAATAAAAATCAATTGCCGAATGTATGTATGCGTATCATTGCAGAACAGCTGCACATATTTGGCTAATTGTTTTTCTGTTGTAAGTGTTATTCTCAGAACAAGGTTTGTATGAAAAAAATATTTCAAAAATTGTACGCAAAAATGTAAAATTTGGCTTAAAAAACATCCATATAAAAAGTGAATAAGTGGGACAGAAGACAGTAGGGAGAATCTCAAAAATATTGACTGAAGTGACAGATTGACGTTCAGTTCCTTATGTAGCTTTATCTGTCACATCCGAATAAAGAAAAAAATAGTTCATTTCTCAAAAAAAAAACGATGCTATTTTTAAAAATACCAGCGGCAATTAGCAATCTTTAGTAGTGACTAAGGTAATTAGGTAAAACAAATGAAAATTTTGTAACTAGGTCTACAGAACTTTTGACTGCTCCATTTTCTCTTAATAATTTTTATATACTTAGATATATCACGTCCTTATCCATAATTATCACCCACTCCTTCAGAGACCACGTCCCATATACTAAACTTGTGCCATACCTGTAATTACTTTTAAAAACTTGCTGCCCAAGTTATAAAATATAGGTTTATACTCTGTCATTTAAGTGGATGAAGTAGTTTACTATTCTGTGAAGTTCCTTAACAACCCATCAAACCTCCCTTCTCACAAACTCCTTCTGAAGGATGGCATACCTGTAATGAATATTAAAAACTTTTTTATGGTTGATATACTAAAGAATAGAAATAAGGCTAGAGAGATGCAGAAAAAAACAAGTCAATTTTCACAATTAAACTTCTGAACATGAATAATATTCTTGATCAGAAGTCATGTTCAGAATATTATTGATGTTCTGAAGTCGCTCGAAAAGGTCTAACGTTTACTCTAGTTGGAAACTTAAAAAAAATCTTGAGCGATCTATAAATAATAAAATATAGACTAGAAAATTCAGAATAATAATTATTTTCATAGTAGAATATAGTGAAATAACGAGAAAAAAAATAACGACATTTAACGATTTTGGAAATTTTTAAAAGTTGTGAGAGGAGAGAGAGAGGTGAGGCTCTTAAAACGTGATAAATTAACATATTTTTGCAAGAGACTCGAAAAAAAAAGGTATTTTGGGCCACTATTTTTTTTGGGAATATGATAATATGATATCCGTATATCGTTTGTTAAAATTGTAGGTTCATAATAAATAATACATAATTGAGATACCTACTGTGAGAAACTAATAATTATTGTTGAATATTCTTAAATTTCCATAAAATTTAAATTAGAAAAAAGAGTTTACCGTCATTTTGTTTTAAGCTGTATAGTGTAGGTGTTTGTAAAAAATTTGCGTAAATAAATCTATACCTACTATATTACTATCATTTCTTTTACAAATTTTCTTTTGACTGAGCTCAAACTACGAGTAGTTTAATATAATCCATACTGATATTATAAATGTGAAAGTGTGTGTGTTTGTTTGTTTGTTTGTTTGTTTGTTTGTTTGTTTGTTTGTTTGTTTGTTTGTTTGTTTGTCCTTCTTTTACGTCGAAACGGAGTGACGGATTGGCGTCATTTTTTGTGTGGAGATAGTTGGAGGGCCGGAGAGTGACATGGCTACTTTTTACCGTGTTTTTTATATCATCTAATTCCCACGAGAAAAAAATTATGATCAGAATTACTGGAAATTTGGTATTAATGTTCTTCAATAAAATTAAATAAATATATTATGTTTTTGCATTTTGTCGAAATTCATCCTATAAGGGGGTAAAATAGGGGATGAAAGTTTGTATGAAACTACCTTTTTATAGATTTTTTTGTAATTTTAGCGCGAGGGAAGCCGTGGGTTCTGCTAGTAGTATATAAATAAAATAAACTAATAAACTATTAATATTTTGCAGATATTTTATTTAATAATAAATATTATTAAACAACGAATTAAATAAGTTTTATAGCGAAAGGGTTTGAGAAAAGTCACGGGTCCTCCTAGTTCAATAATAAAAATAAACGATACTAAACGTATATATATATACCTATATATTTCAAAACAATATAAGTTATAAGTAATAATTAGACGGCCTTAATGATTTTCAAATGTGTGATTATGAAATCACACATTTGAAAATCATTAAGGCCTTATGACTTATGAAAGCATGATTTTGACTCATACATCAAGGATTCCATACCGCTGAATATTGTGTTGTTTTTTCTAACATACTCGTATAGGTATACATACTTTATTATTTGAAAAAGTTAGTTCGCGTTCCATATATTAGATATTTCCTAAAAATATTATGGAAAACAAATTTAATTTTAGTGATCCTAACTCAAAATATCCAGTACCTATCTGAAAAGATATTTAACGTATATTCTGTAAATTATCGTCCGTTTAAGCAAGCTCTACTTTTATGCAAATTTTTACATTATTTTCCCAAAATTAGAGGAAGAGAGTACAATGATACAACTCGTATACAATTTTTATGACGAATGAATCATATAACTCTGCTTATATGGGCTTTGTAGGTGTTATGGGCGACAGGTACCGCTTTCCATCAGGTGGGCTGTCTGCTCGTTTGTCACAGAATACCATAAAAAAACCTTACTAACAGGTTAATATCTACGTTAATTTTAAAGACACAATACTATGTACACCTGAAACTTACAGTCTCCCTCCTTCCCCTCCTTTATTAAGTTACATATATTATGTACCGTTCTTATTTTGTTTATAGCTTTCTGCTCGCGGCTACGTTCGCGTGGACTAAAGAATTTGCTGTTAATTTCTATTGAGTATATATGTAGTCATATCGAATGTGAATTGTTATGTGTACATTCCGTTCAGTCGTTCCATGTAAGCAGCAATTTTCTCTTTTTTTCCCTGTTAAATTTAACGTCTGGCCCTTAGAATTATCGATGGTCATTGCAAAGCAAATTTTAAGGAGGAATTACAAAAGATAAAATTCAAAGGCGTATTCAGAGGCTATCAGTGTTATACATCACAATGGTTACTATAATATTTTATGGATTACTCGCTGTCCAGTCCCATTACGTAGCTTAGGTGGCTTATTCATTACAGATGTACAAACCTTTAGAAGTATTTTATGAGAAAGGAGGCTTGTTGGGTTAACAATGCTAAAAAACTCCACAGGATAGTGAACTGCTTCATCCATTTGCATCACTGTATCGACAAACCTATATTCTTTCTCTGTTCTCTATCTTTCTTACTCTTCAAAGGATTTGAGCAGGATGTTAGTAAAAGCAGTAGCACTGTTGTTTTTGGGGATCAGTATAGCACGTTCACAAATCCAAGCAAAGACTTTGTGTATTAGAAACATCAGTATACACTGTAGCTAGGTTCTTTCTCGCACTCTCTAGGTCTGTTATAGTTGTCACGGAGGATTTTTTACGGGACCTATTATACGGGATGATTTACAGGAAATTAAAACACGTATTTATTTAATTGAATTGAAGATCGTTAATATAAAGTTTCAAGTAATTCTGTTATGTATTAGTAAGTTCATAAATAATCTTTTGTGCATACAAATTTTATACCATAAATTTCCATATAAATTTTATTATCCCCTTTTACCCATTTAAGGGATGAATTTCGAAAAACATTTAATAAATATTATATTTCTTATTTTTTATCTTAAATACCGCTTTTTGTGTTTATTTCACATTAAGAATTTTCCATCCTTTCAACTTTTATACTATATATTACATATAACTATTAAACTTTCAATCGAATCGAACTTTCAATCTTTTATCTATGAATTTCGAAAAATCCTTTATCGGACGCCTACATCATAAAAGGAATAGACCCTCTAAAATTTAACATTTCTATGACCAGCGGCTTAGGCTGTACGTTGATCAATTCAGTCAGTCAGTCAGGACAAAGCCTTTTATCTATACATATAATAAAATTGTAACTAAGCCGAATTTGTACATTAAATATTTTATTATATTATTATCGATACAGAGGCCGAATCTATAGTTTATAGAGTTTTTGTCTGTCTGTCTGTTTGTTACCGTATCACAGAAAAACCACTGGAAGGATTTTGAATAAATTTGGTATGGTGATAGCTGGTTATCTGGGTCAATATATAGGATACTTTTTACCGCGGGAAAATGTCTCATTTCTGAAAAAAATACAAAAACTGCAATGTAAGGGATATACTAATATGTAAAACCTAAGAATTTCGTTTTTTGGTCATCTGAACGCGGGCGGAGCCGCGGGCAATGCTAGTACATTATATAGACAAAAAATTATATTGTAAAAAGTGGTTAATCACTTTTTAAGGTAAATATAAAGCTTTATTTGGTTTTTAAGGCGATGAAACCTTTATTAAAGAAGTATTTGTTTATTGAGTATAGTAAATTAAACAGCTGATGTAACAAAAGTATTGATCGTTCAAATTATACTTTACATAGCTTTACTTACATTTACGTACATTTATAACAAATAATATGTATAAAAAAAACATTCTCAAACAATAAGTGCACAATTGCTTAAGTAGATCAGAGGATGATTTATTGAAGAAAATTCCGCTTATTCCATCAATAATGATGTTTCGGGGCCAAATGATGAGTGTCGAATTTCACATCAGCGTGGAAGCTATAACAAAAAAATATTACCATTTGATCAATCGATATTTCATTGCTTAAAACATGCTATTATACGAGTACATTGATGAATTCGTGAATCTAGTATTTTAATAAGTATTGTCTACATATTAAAAGTAACTAACCCGGTGTGATGGTCACCGTGATAGTGTACAGCCCTTTCAGAGCCATCAGGCTGGTGCAGAGCGTAGTATCCCTTCACTACGTCGCCGTCGCGGCTCTCGTGCTGGGACTTGATGTCGCCGGTGTGGTGGTCCACTACTTTGTATTCAAAGTCATATTTGGGATGGGTCTGGAAAGTTTACAAATATGTAACGTTATAGTTTCAACTATTATTTTAGTGTCAGATGTATATAAAATAAGATATAATGACAAATGATCACTTACGTGGTAGTCTACGTGGCCATAGCCATGACCATGACCATGTCCACCATGTACTTGTACGATTTCAGGATGTCCGTCGTGACGAGAGATGTGCTGCGATGAGTACCCATGGCCATACCCGTGGCCATATTGAGCAGTCGCAAGTGCGACAAAAGCAGCAAAGCACAACACCTGTTATATTGTAATAAATTATTTATAAAATATTTAGATCATATAAGTTGGATATTTTAAACTAGTTATTAACGATAGAACTTTTGATTTTTTTGCAAAATAGTAGTATCTCATGAGAATCACTTTATAGTTAAAACGTACGTCCATTTCATGAAAGAATAAGCAAACAATCATAATTTCATTTTTGTATTATAAGTAGGTAAACATGTAAATTTTATACCTTAGCGAACATTTTGATTGAACGGTATTGTTTTAGTTTCTAAAACTCAACTGATGTGGTGTTGCTAGCACTCACGTCTTTTATATTGTTCACAAGGGTAAGTTGCCGAGGTCTATTGGTTTCATTCTATTTTATATTTGGCAATATTGACGCCATCGCGTGTGTTCATAAATTTTTTCAATTGCAATATTTTATCAAGATAAGTTGACTTTTTCACGTAATATTAATGTTGTATACCTACTATTACAGCCAGAATATTTTGCGTATACCAGAAAAGAAATTTAAAATTTTACTGACCGTGCCTAATAAGGATTTTATATCATAATACTTTGTTAGATTTACGCGAATGTTTGACATTTTAAATAAAACTATCTTTTCGGATTTATTTTGCTTTTTGGTTCCCGACGTTTCGAATGCTTTACGGCTTTTTTATTTATTTAATCTTAGCTGTTATTATTATAATTATAACAATTTTTAAGAAAAAATATATTAATTAGTAATTTATATTTAGTGTTGCCATTATTATAATGTAGCTTAAGTGTAACTGTAGTAATAGTGTTGCTTAAAAATTTGTTTTTTTTAATAATAGCAAACTAAATTAAAATTATTATTCTTAATTAAGTTTTTCCTTTTGCCTACGGAATCTTAAAATTGAGAAAAAATATACTTACGTAAGTCTGTCGTAGTCTAATTAGAATATTTATCTATAATATTATGCATCAGTGCACAGTTATCTAGTAACAGCACATGAAAAATTTGATTGGTAATCGTTGATTAAAATTTTTATGTAAGTTATCTATTTAAAAAACACAATTTATTTTTTATTATACTATTTAGTATGTTACTATATATTTAATTATCTCAGTGGTCTAGTGGGTATTATGTACGGCTGCAGATATACATACGAAGGTCACCGCTCGAGTACGGGTTGGACCAAGTATAATTGTTGGGTTTTTCTTGTTAAGTACTTCTTGAAATTGTATTTTTTTCTGGAAATTTATTTACATGAATCCCTTGATGGGTAACTTATTGATTAAATTTTTTTATAAAAGTCGGCTTTTAAAAGACAGAAATCGTCTTAAAAACATAAGGAATGGTAATAATAGCCTATAACCCTCTAAGCATTCAACTTATACCCATAAATACTAGCATATTTTAAATTTTAATATAAATTAATTATTAGAATTGTATAGACACTACCGAGTCGCATAAATATTGTTAAGAAAATTTCAACGACTTTTGCTATTCTCTCTTATTGGCCGGCGCCATATTTATCTTGACGAATAAAATTTAAAACAATAATAATACCTCACCACTAATCAGCACTTTCTGCACATATGCATGACAGTATTTTTTTAGTTTCAGATAGACTTATGTAGTATTAAAGCAGCCGAAAGCGCTAAATTACCCTTTGTTAGGTATTCTCGTTACTCTAACGTTTTCTATTTTGACGATCTTCAAGCTTACTTCATTTGACTTTTTAACCGACTTCAAAAAGGGGGAGATTCTCAATTCGATTGGTATTTTTTTTATGTATGTACAAGTCAGTGCCTTTACCTACTATTACATTTGGCTTGGCACCGACTTCAAACCTATCAATGGGTAGCACATAGAAATATAGTATTTTATTAATATTCAAGGTATTAAGGTTTGCATAAGAGGTGTATTAAACTAAATCTTTATTAAGTTATTTTATACCTTTTACTTTTGAAGTCGGTTTTTTTAAACGTAGTTTTTTTTGTTTAAACGATGTTTTACTTATCTTGCGTATTATGAGTTAATTTTTAATACGCTTTTATAATATGGCCCGAATAAAAACTTGTAATAAGAAAGTTTTGAAAAAACACTGAAAATAGAGCCTATAATTTCTATAAACCTTTTTTTATTGCACTAAATAATGTTTTTTTTAAAAGTAAACCGCGTTATAATTACATAAATCTAATTATACCTTTACCATTACCTATGTATATAATTTAGTTTGTTAGATTTTATACAATTGTTGGCAGAATCCGTTATTTCAATCTATTTTCAGACGTATGTAGACATAGAGTAAAACGCAAGATATAATACTACGGAGTTAGAGGTTCTTAGGCCAACAAATTATTGGCGCATAGCATTTTCATTTTTGATATGGAGGTCGCATATCCTGAAAATTGTAAAAATGCACTGAAAATGGATACAATACCATCAGTTTTTGAGATAATCTTTGGATGAGGATGGAGGCCTATATACAGCAGTGGACCTCTTTCGAGTGACATAATTTAGAAATATATATTACTGGTGAATGAAAATTATTTTACCCAACTGCGGCGAAGACCAAAGGAGGGCTATGTGTTTGACCTCTATGTATGTTCGGACATAATTTCTTTGTTTATGAACCGATTTAAATTATTATTATTTTTGTTGGAAAGGAGATAACTCAAGGGTCCCATAAAAATTTAGTGATGATATGATGAGGATCTTTGGGGTGATAAACGGAATTGCACTTTAGCATTTTTCAATTTCTACCAGTGGGATCGTCTTGTAAACAGTACAATTCGAAAAAAAATTACACAGGTACCTCCTCATCATAAAACTCCTCATTGGATTAATATGACATGTAAAAATTCCCTCTTAAAGTCTAAAAATCCTTTTGCCTAATTTGTTTGAAATTGTTTCCTGATTTTTAGTGTTACTAATAATTACTAATAATAAGCTAGTTTTCGCTTGTTAGTCTTCATGTAAACTAAAGAGGGTTGAGGTCTGGCAGGCGGGAAGCTTTCGCCAAAACCAATAAGCAGTATGGACATACTGCGCCGACTCCAAGTAATTTGGGAAACGTGTATGGATATGATGATGAGTCTTCATTTAAACTATTAACTTAAATGGCTTAAGCTGTAAGCTGATGTTGTATTAAAATACTTTTTTCTTATAAATACAAATCAAAGCAAAGCTATTTCGATACGTATAAATACATCACAAATTAATGTATGTATATAATATTTTCATTATTCACTATTTCTCCTTTATATCAGATATTCATATCTTAAAGCATTGTCGGCTGGCACCGAGTACGAAAATATCTGATTATGTATCTATAGTAAATGAAAACTACCAATATGTTATTTTTTACTTTTTAGTGTTTTAAAGTAAGTATTTTTTTTAAGTTTTTATAGTTCGTTATTTATGCAGTCGGTTCTTTTATATTTGTAAATAAATTAAAATAATTCATAAAGAGCTTGTAAAGGGCGTAATGGTCTAAATTTGGATAGTATGTGGTTTTTATAGTATGTTACGAGATATTATCCGCTGTGAACTATATTTTGATGATACTTTTTTCTTTTTTTTTCTTGATTCTCCTAAAAAGTTATTATTTAAGTTACAATTTTATTTTTCATACTGAAGTACATAATATGTAAAAACTGTTGCACAGACTATTAAGATGTAATTTTCTTTTTTATTTTAGTACCTACTTACTTATTAAAGTAGCACACTTAAGTATAATTCTTGCTTCATTTTGTCTTATTTATTAGGATCACAAAAATTTTATATCTAAGAAAATTTTATTGATAAAAATAAAATGCAAGAATAAAAAGAGCTGATTCATTTATTTCATTTAATGTTATTAAAAATAGCGTATTGAAGTAAAGAGCTGAATTTACAAGAAATATGCTGAAGATAAAAAATGATAATTTTATATTACGATAACAATTATTAATTTAAATCACAGTTCGCTTTGATTCATTAATTAATATCTAGTATTATTAATGATGATGTTTAGAATACAGGTGATGAGTGTCATATTTGACATCAGCGTGGAATCTGGAACAAAGTACTTATATTATAAAAATGTACATAAATATTCATAGTAATCAACATAATTCCTAGCATGAGTTTCTACCGAATATTAGAGATACTGAGAAATCAACTGATTAAATTATTTTATATGGAACTACTATTTTTAGATATGTAGTCTAATTAATTTTCATGTTACATAGTGCCTGTGTGACTTCTCTATAGTCTCCTCGTCACTATATAGTATAAAACAAAGTCGCTTCCTGCTGTCTGTCTGTTCCTATATATGTATAGACCTTTAAAACTACGCAACAGATTTTGATGCGGTTTCTTAGTAGATAGAATAATTCAAGAGGAAGGTTTTAGTAGTATAAAATTTGTTAAGTTTTTGTATACATTGGCTAAAATATAACGATATTTGTTGGAGGTGTCGGAAAAAAATAAGCCGTCTGGGAGCTTTCAACGAAAACTCTGCCTAAACCCTTTGAGATATAGCACAATAATGTATGGTGGAATTGTATATCTTATATAGGTCTACAGAAAAGTCTACGGTGGTATATGTCTATCTCTTAAGAATAACATTCTATATCCATTTTAATTTAAAAAGTACCTAGGGGCGAACCCGAGTGAAGCGAGAGTGAGTCGCTAGTAAAATATATGGTGTAAAAGAATGTTTAGTATTTAAGTATCTTTCAAATCCAATACATTTAGATTACACCATTGAATTTTAATAATCACTATACATAGAACTTGAAAAAAAGAAGAAAATAAGGATAATACAATTGTAATTATTAGTCTTACCCGGTATGGTCATCACCATGATAATGCACTGATCTTTCAGAGCCATCAGGCTGGTGCAGAGCGTAGTATCCCTTCACTACGTCGCCGTCGCGGCTCTCGTGCTGGGACTTGATGTCGCCGGTGTGGTGATCTTCTACTTTGTATTCAAAGTCATATTTGGGATATGCCTGAAATATAGTTTTAATTCTCTAACTTATCTCTCTTAATATATTACGTAGAATTGTACTTAATAATCTAAGCATTTATTACTTATTTACGATACGAATCATATTATTCGCTCATCGAGTTTCATATAAACACTCATTATACATAAATTTATTTTTAATTAACATTTAAACTTAAGTTAAATTGCACTTTCATTGATTAAAATCAATGAAAAGTTAACCTATTTTAACTGCACTTAACTACTAACATGTTATTTTGAACTCTTCAGTTCCCAATTTATTTCAAGAAGTATAAGCATTTTAGAATTTAGATTTCTGCAAAAGAATCATATGAAATCTATGTCAATTTTCTTACATAATAGTCAACATGCTCATGACCGTGACCATGACCATATCCACCATGTGTCTTTATAGGTTCTGCATGTCCGTCATGACGAGAAACATGCTGAGAGGAGTAGGCAGACCCATGACCATGCCCGTGTTGGGCAACTGCAACTGTGACAAGTGCGAATAAACACAACGCCTGAAAATAATAACGGTTTATTTAGTAGTAGTAAATTATTTGGAGTACTAAGTGGCGTTATAAATGCGTTTATATTTGTTACTATTTAACACTGAAACGGCTGAACAGATTTGGATAAGATTTAGTAAACAGATGGACTATGACCTGAATTAGCATCTAAGCTTTGCAACGTTAGCAACTAGTGTCTAACACCTAGAAACGTCATTTATAAACTATGGAATATTTATCTCGCAGGGTCCACTATAAAATTACATTTCTTTTTTGTTCTCCACTTATTATCCAAACATTAAAACACTGTCCAGTGCTACGGCAATCTCGTAACGAAGCACGAACGCACAACGTTAAGAATCAATAACAAAATATGATATTGTTAAAATAAAAACTGATGAAATAGAAAAAAATACCCTATGTAATTAAATACAAAAAAAAAATGTTGTCAATAATACAATAAATATATTCTCAATAATTTTTTTTGATACACCTTCTTAAATACTTCAATGTTAAGTTAAAATTCAATTTTAAGATAACTAAATAGAATTAAAATATTAAATTTACCTTAGCAAACATTTTGATGGTAGGTAAAACTATTGTTTTGGTACCTATCTAGTACAAAACTCGACTAATATGGTTTAGCTTATGCTCACCTCTTATATATCGATCACAAGGGTAATTAATAATAGAGGCTCGAGCATATTGATTTCACTCGATTTAATTGCTTACTTAAACACCCGACAACATAGTTAGTACTAGATACTTAAAAATTCCAACAGTTTCACACGTAACACTTAATAAACGGTCCAAGAGTTACAATAATTGAGGCTGTTTGTAAAGTGGCCTAACTTTAAGACATTTTCTAGAGAAAATCGTTCAATATTCCATGTCAGATTATTTTCAGGCATGACAATCCATATTATGCCACTCAATAGTGCTATTAATAATAATAATAATATGTTGGGACATTAACACACAACACCATCTACATAGTTCCACGGTAAGCTACGAGGCTTGTGCTATGGATACCAGATAGTTAATACACTACACATATGTAACTTTAAATACATACATATCATAAATATAAACTACATACAAACATTATTGCTCATCACACAAACGAATGCCCCCAGCGGGACTCGAACCAGCGTCCGCTGGCACAGCAAGTAGGGTCATTACACACTGAGCCAAACGTGTCTTCAATTCGTCTATTATGTGTGTATGGCGCCTGTTTACGTCCACAGCTTCGTTTATGTAGTAGGGACGTGATAAAAGAATATGTAGGTAACCTAGAATATAAGCTGTCTCCATACTAAATTTCATTCAAAATTCGATGCGTCGTTATAGCTTGATAGGGAAAGACAAAAGGGTTCAATACCTTTTTCTCTTCTATTTGTCAACAGTTTTTTGTTCATTAGCTATTTTGATGACCTGTAGTATTATAAATTTAAAAAAAAATTATTATATAAATAGATAAATTCTATTTTCAATAATAAATTAACATAATTTTCATATATGGTTTAACTTCTACCACTAGCCTACACATACAATGTGGATTCTACACATATTGGTTCAGTTTTGTAGCTCATGAAAGTAGATAATTTGAAGTACAGTCGTCGAATGTTTTTTTTTTTAATATTACAGATTTAAGTAATGAAATACTTCTTAGGTTACGGTTACGTCTTACGATTTCCTGCAGTTGCTTACCATTATTCTTATTTATTATGTTTTAAGTAATACGATATTATTTTATATTAAACTTTAAGCTTCTAGAGTATGATGAGCGCGCAGAAGTTAAGTTACTACCCCTGTTGTCACGGTGAGACTCGGCTATTGTAATGAAGTAAATAGAATATATATATATATATATATATATTAAATTACTTTTAATAGACAGACTATATTTTATTAGGAGGCACATCTGTGCATCACCCGCATCAATCAACCTATTATAAATTACAAGCTATTTTACGTCGCGTCGCGTATTTATGAAGAAATATTTATTAAATTTACATAAATGAACACTTGTTATTTTTCAACAAAATCATATTAAATCAAAATTATATTATTTAACAATAAACAATAATATCAATAACTTTATATTATACTAGCATTGCCCGCGGCTCCGCCCGCGTTCAGATGACCAAAAAGCAAATTCTTAGGTTACATACTAGTATACTCTTACATAGCAGTTTTTGTATTTTTTCTCAGAAATTAGATATTTTCGCGCGGTAAAAAGTATTCTATATGTTGACTCGGATAACCAGCTATCACCATACCAAATTCCATCAAAATCCCTCCAGTGGTTTTTCTGTGATGCGGTAACAGACAGACAGACAAAAATTCTTTCGGCTTAGTTACAATTTTATTATATGTTTAGATTTATTATAACATACGTAAATAACTATTTCTTAAAATCTTTAATTATATGAAGACCAAATAAGTTTATACATGTTGGAACAAATGAACTCCACATGGAAGATTAGTACCTTAAATATTGCAGATATCAAGTTTCACTGAAATGACGTATTATTTTATTTTCTAAAATGAGAATAAATGCATTTACTTATTTTTAAATTTACCGAACCTAAATACAAACCTATCAATATTTTACCACTTAGTTAGCTTTTTAAAAAAAAATTAACTGCAGGCATTCTTGTTATGAAAAGTAAAGGAATGTTTTCTTTGAGTAAAACCAGATATTTTCAATTTATAAGGTGCTTTTCTTCCATGTTCCCTTCATTTGTGTCACGATGTTACCAGAGTCCATGTGTATCAAATGCAAGATTTCAATAGTTTTTCTATAGTTTTAAGATACAATGTTTGTTCTAAAGATTTTATCCTTACCATAAACACTATCGATTAGTTCAATAAAATAGAGGCAATTTATTTTTTTGCATTTTTAGCTGGTTCGATTACCGGCTTAGGTAAGTTTTTTTTTAAAAATGAAATAAATTTTAAAATAAAATTTTAATAGTAGCTCTTCTTTGCAAAAAACAAAATTCTTATTTTTATGAATAAAAAACTATTTTATTAGAATAGAATTGCCAATATTGTGTACCTATATTTTTAACAAATGTTATCTTCTATTAAAATCATAGTTTTTACCATTTCAAAATATTAAAACTTCATTTATAATAATTAAACCTAGTCAAAAAACTCAAGATGCAAATATACCTAATCAATTTGCAAGAATCCAGAAACTCATTTTATTACGGTTTTTAACTCAAAGTAGAAGTGAAGAGGAGATTTTTCTGATTTCTGTTATTCCTTTGTTGTTGTTTTGACCAGCATGAAACATTTTTGTTCAATAAAATGAACACCCCGAACAGAAATAGAACCCTTGATATCAGCCGCCCTAGGCTATGTTAGTGTGATATTACATACATGGAGCCATGATGATCATTTATATATTTTATTTAATACTAAAAGAAAAAGGCTTATACATTTATTTAAAGGTTTATTCACATGCAATCTTTAAAAAACAACAAATATCGCAATTATTCAACATTTTCTATTATTAATAAGATTATTTATATTTCATAAATAATAATATTAATTTATTAGATATACACTAAGTAACAAATATAATTGCTTTATTTCAGTCAGTAGTGGTGTTTCTTAGGGATTATGTGGTGGGTGGCGTATTTCACGTCGGCGTGGAATCTGTAAAAAGGAAAAATAATAAAAAAATAATAATCATGGGATATTTATAACTGAAAGTATATTTTTAACATTTATAATACCCATTATAATATGTAGTACGTGAGACCGAGTGACTAAAATATAAAAATTATAAGTGTCAGTAAATACAGTCTGTTAGGAAGCTTTTACCGGTTTAAAATGCGGTTCAGTTGCAAAAGTAGAGCTGCTATAAAAGTTAATTATAAGAGTCCATTTTGTATTATAAGCTTCCACATCCGCATTAAATAAATATACATTTTTATTGACCATATTGACCATATAGATTGTCCCAGAAACTTGATTTTTAAGATACCTACGAACCTAGAGAACGAGAGAGGTCTCTATATCATGAATATTAAAAAATATAATGATATCAAAATATTTTCTTTACCCAGTATGATGATCACCATGATAGTGCACAGTTCTAACAGAACCGTCGGGTTGATGAAGGGAATAATATCCTTTCACATGATCCCCGTCGCGGCTTTCGTGTTGAGATTTGATGTCACCAGTGTGGTGGTCGTTCACTTTATATTCGAAGTGGTACTTGGGATGTGTCTAACGATTTACATAAAAATAAAAAAATTAAATTGATTAATAATAAAGAGTTGATAGTAGCTATTAAAATTGATAAAATAAGATTTTAATTTAAACATAGTGAAGTAATTATGATAATATATATATATATATATATATATATATATATATATATATATATATATATATATATATATATATATATATATATATATATATATATAATATAATCAGTTTTCCATAATATAATTTATATTCGATAATATAAATTATAAAGCATATAACCTACATGGTAGTCAATATGTCCGTGGCCATGACCGTGTCCATGCACATGTACGATTTTGGGATGTCCATCGTGACGTGAAAAATGTTGCGAAGAATACGCAATATGCCCGCTAGCTACACTCAATGTAGCAATTGCAAGGAAACATAAAACCTGAAAAATTATGTTTAAATTTAATATTTTCAACCCTTTTTTGACATAATAGTTATAAGTAATTCAGTTATCAAAATAAAATACCTTGAAGTACATTTTATTTTTTATTCAAATACTTCTTAGTTCTATTTTAGTTGATTGAATGATACTTTGTAACAAAATTTCGTGACTTTTATATCAATAATAGCAAGGGTAACACAAATTGATTTCAATATACGCAATTTCTTTTGAATATCTCAATACACTGCACGATATTTGCAATCGTTTCCTAATATCGACACGTACATGGCTTTATATCTATAGAACATGAATGGTTGTGATGGGAAATAATGAAATTCAAATATTAGATTCTATTTTACTTAACAATCACTCGCTTCATTTCCATTCATATACGTTTGACGAAATTACTATTAGAGATCATGTACTGCTGCAGATCATGAGGTCCTGTATTCCATTTCCAGGTTGGGTCATATTGTTATTGGGTGATTCTATTAGGAAATATTCAGTAGCAGCCAATAATTGAGAAGTGGGCGGTGTTTATACACCCTTGCCTGGGAGAACATAATATTAAGACAACAAAATTCTATCTCGTTATAAGTCCATAATGACCTGAGATATGCAGCACTAGGGACATTTAATTGAAAATAACTTTTTTGCAACTTTATAACGAATTTCTTAACTAAAAAACTCATATATTTAGAGCTTCTGCCATATAGTAAATAAATCTTGCATTTATCTCAAACGTTATCCTTCATTTGGGTCTTATTTTCATCTATTGGCGTATTGCACGTAGCGTAGTCATATAGTTATGCTAATCCGACGTGTTAGAAAGCCCTTATATGTTTTTAGAAAAAAAAGTCTTTTTGCATATCAGGACTTATTGATGATGGCCTATTTTGCAGTAGTCTAGTCTTCATAGAATCATAGTACAGGTGGCTCTTCCATCTCTGTTCTACTATAATAAGAGAGACCTCGAAAAATTATACTTATAATTATAATTAAAAACCAACCACATATTCTGCATGTCTTCTCATTATGGATCGCCAAGTGTTATCGGTACAACTTTATGCTTTGAAATGAACCTTAAAATAACCCTATTTATAAACACCGTAGAGTAATGTAATTAACACTCGTCTTTCATAGTAAACGATATACATAGACTATAGAAAACTTTCGCAGGTCCACCAGCAGGTAACCGTTAGTTTTATGGTTTTTGTATAGAGTTAGCCATTAGCCAGATGCTCTATTATTAAAATAGTATATTTTTTTAAGCAAAATATTGGTATTTGTATATGATATAGGATAGAAGCAACCCGCATGGTACACTGTCTACCGAAGCGGGCCTCCTCCCAGTGCGTCTCTTGGGTTGATGCCGAGTTGGATTGGGGGGAATGGACTACGGAGTAACACATAAGCTACTGTTAAGACTACCAAATAAATAAGCTTTCACCCGACCTATATGTATAGGTTTTCCCATGACAAGTCACAAAAGCTAAAATAATCAAAAATGCCAATATCAGATATGAGAAGTGTGATTGACAAACTTTTCTTACTAAAATAGTTTCAAAAGTTTTACAAATGTACTTTTTGCTGTTTTATGACACGTTTGACGACACGTTTGGCTCAGTTTGTAGTGACCCTACTTGCTGTGCCAGCGGTCGCGGGTTCGAGTCCCGCTGGGGGGCATTCATTTGTGTAATGACGAATGTTTGTACTCCAGTCATGGGTATATATTTATAATATGTATGTATTTAAAGTTATATATGTGTAGTGTATCAACTATCTGGTATCCATAACACAAGCCTCATAACTTATCATGGAACTAGATGGCGCTGTGTGTTAACGTCCCAACATATTTATTTATTTATTATTTATTTATTTATTTATTATTCACAATCTACATATCTATTACAGTAGGTACCTATTATTTTTTTCGCATTTCATATAATTAGATTGTTAAATAAGAATCCATTTACATGAATAAAAAGTATGGTAAACATAATATTAAATAGATATAAATAAATTATTTATCTAGGGAAAAATATACTTAATCGTTAATGTACCGAAACGCTAATACCGCGAGCATATGACCGTGACCGTGGCCCGCGCTAAAGTTACGCAGCCGGCAACCTAGTTCCAATAGATTTTCAAATGCATTTTTTGCTGTTTTATTATTCACAATCTACTTTACTATTTAAAACAAATAATAGTCTAAGATCCGAAGCGTGATCGTCCTTTATCCATCTGCTTACTGTATTAAACATACTTTGTACTGAACCGATATTACGTTTACAATAACAATAATAAAGAGATCAAAATGATGAAGTTGGTTCATGAAATATGGTGAAGGATAGCGTAAATTATATTATAATTATAGGCACTAATCTTTTATTTACTTTCTTATTATGAGTTGCTATGCATTCCTATACCATAGCGAATACTACTCGTAATGCCCATTAAAGGTTACCTCTAAGCTTAATTTTCTTAATTAAGGTTAATTTCTATGCAACAGTCACATAAGTTAGTCATGTTCCATAAACTTTGCAGTTTTAATTATGAAATATTATAAAAAAAACTATTTTTAGTAAATGTTGGCGTCAATATTTAATTAAACAATCCATCTACAACGTATTTGTACGTACATATATGTATTTTGTTCCATATATATTTTTTCTGTGTTAAGAAGATAAGTGACAGGCGTTTTTACTTCGGATCTTTTACTATAAGTATAATTCATGATTGGCAACAGTTATTTTTTATTTGAATATATTAGTTTTATAATAATAATCTTTTTTTCCTTTCTTCATTTAGACATTCCCCTTATAGATGGATTTACATCATACATTTTTTGTAATGGTATTCAGCTCTTTTAATGTCCCACTGCTGGCACAGGCCTCTCTTTAATCTACCCCAACGTGCGTTCACCTTGTCGTGGTGGGGGGCTCATTAGCGTGGTAGGGGGGCTCATTAGCGTCCGGCAATCCAGCCGGACGCGAAGCCAAAAAACGCACCGGGAGGTGGCCCACTTGAGTGGACAGCGTACCATGCGGGCTGCTCCTGATACTTCTCTGATAGTAGAGTGGATCGTTTGAGCAGCTCAATGGTTATTGTACTCTGCTTCGGCTGGCTGCCGTCGCGTCGAGGCGTCATGGTTAAGTGCGTAAGTAATCCTGCGACGCCCCATTATGACGGGGGAGGTTTTGGTGGGTTTTAGTCCTACATAACTATCTGTATGTATATAGGTGGTATGCGTAAATGCATTTTCCTGCATTATAAAAGGCCTCCCTTTAATACAATGACCACCTTGTTCGTTAAGTGCGGCTTGGCGGACTTCACAATGCTTTCATCAACTTGCTGAAAGCTCTCAGACATGCACGTTTCCTTACGATGTTTGTTTTCCTTCACCGTAAGACAAGTGGTAATCATGTTGAAAGTGATCCAAGCATAAAAATATCAGAGCCGCAAGATCCGGCATTTAAACCCACTTGGGTTCCCAAGCAAGCACGTTGCCACTGGGCTATAACGGTCTTTATTGTAATAAATAAAAAAATATATAGGATAGTTAATATAAAATTTACTAAAGGGTTTTAATGTAAACAGAAAGTAGTCAATAATAAAATTATATGAATGTAACGTGTTTTATTCATATAAAATGTATAAAAAGATATAACGATACTATATCTAAGATACTTCGATAACGAGGATCTATATTTGGTTATAAGCTCAATGATGATAATGCTTCTGGGGGATGACGTGATGCGTACCGTATTTTACATCAGCATGGAACCTGTAAAAATATCATAAAGTTAATACTTTAACTAATTAATAGGTACCTTAATCTTAAAATTATTGCAAACTGCACTTAACTATACTAAGTGAAATTAAAAACATTCATATTTAAATCAAATATGACTATTGATTTTAAAATGTTCTGAATAAAAAAAAATCCGTTATAATTCAACTATAAAAAAAGAATTTAGAAAGAAATAATTATAGAGAAAAGTAGCCTATGTTACTCCTTATAACATAAGCTACCTGCCAGTGAAATTCCCGCCAAAATCAGTCCAACGCCAAAAACAGACAGACAATTAAAAAAAATGAGATTTTCTTATAAGTACCGTATATAATTTCATATGCATTTAGTAAAAAGCTTTTCTTTCGACATTACGAACAGACACTTCAATTTGATTTATCTGTATGTATTAATAATAGTCTGATTATCTTACCCGCTGTGTTTGTCACCGTGGTAGTGTACTTCGCGTTCAGAGCCATCAGGCTGGTGTAGGGAGTAGTATCCCTTTACTTCATCACCGTCGCGACTCTCACGTTGAGATTTGATATCACCAGTGTGGTGGTCTTCTACTTTGTACTCGAATTCGTATTTAGGGTACGCCTGTTAATAAATTCATTTTTAGTATTTACTAGATAAAAAAATATTTCTGAGTTAATTATTTGCAAAGGTAGTATTCCCGTGAATGGATTGAACTGAAGGTTATAAGAAAAAAATTACGTTATTTTATTTAATTATATTATATAATCATATTAATGACTAAATTGATTATAGAGATCATACTATTATATATTATATTTACGGATATAGATCTGCATGTTTTCATGGTTTTAGATAGCGAAAGGTGTTTGGACATTATAATATATTAGGGGCTCACTCTCGTTTCGCTCGGGTTTGCCTCTAGAAAAAGAAAAACAAATCTATCCCACAGGAATTGTACATTTTTTCGAGATAAAAAGTAGGTTATGTGCTATTTCAGACTATAATCTATTTCATCCAGATCCGTTCAGCCGTTCTGGTGTGAATGAATAACAAACATCCAAACATCTAAAATTTCGAATTTATATTATTAGATTAATTCATGAGATATTAAACATACGGACTATATAGAAAATTTAAATACATACGTATAAGTTTTTACAATTACTAAGTTCTTCTCTTTTTCCAAACATATTTAAAGCTTTTATTAAAGCTTAATTTAAATTGATTATCTAATATAGTATGGAGTATTAAGATAAAATAATATTTACATAATAATCAATAGATTCATGACCATGCCCATGTCCATGCTCGCCCCCATGTCCCACATGCACAATCTCTGGCTTGCCATCATGCCTGGAAATGTGTTGGGAGGAGTACGCATGACCGTGACTGTCGCTGGCGAGCGCTACAGCCATAAAGGCAGCTAAGCATAATACCTGGAATATTAAAATTTTACATACAATTATTAAAAAAAGTTTTCATTATCAATACGATAGTAAAAACTATACAAAATCACTTATAAAATTGAAAATCACTTAAAATTTCTTTGTAAAACGTCACACATAGTTAAGACATTATTTTTTACACTACGCGGTATAAAATTATAAATTAACTTGATTTTAAATACCTTGGTGTACATTTTGGCTGTTTTAATATCTGTTTAGGATTCTACACTTAGTCGTAAACTGATACTTCTCAGTTAAGAATCAAGTCTTTTATATCGATAACAAAGGTAACGACCAAGGTAATAGAGATTTCACTAATATTTGTTGTTAAAATTATTCACTGCATAATATGCACGCTTTGTAATAAATATTTCGTAAAAATTAAACTAAATAACTATCACATTGATTGAAGTCAAAATTTAAATGACGCAAATTCTTACGTAGAGAATGCGCTTGCTATTGACAACGATGAAATAAGGTTAATAACAAAGAACAAATATATTAACACTAGCGGCTCACTAAGTACGTTTTAACGGTTAGTATTGAATAAATAGATACTATAATGATATATAACATTCCTTAATAAATGGACTATTTGCGAAATTAGCGCGTTCAAATTCTGCCTAATATAAGATAAAATAATATTATATAAGCATAATTTTGCTTAATATTGAAATATAAATGTACATTATAAAAACTATAATATATATATATATATATATATATATATATATATAAATGTACGTCAAAATGTATATACTAATAAATAAATCGACACCATCATTGTGCTACGACATAATTCATTAGATTTAATAGAATATAACGCCACAAACAGAAAATGATTAAAATGATACACATACTTTTAAATTAATTTATTATTGTAACTTAATATAAAATTAAAATATTATGCGCTTTTGTTAAAAAAAGATCTAACTTTCTAAATAAATTGATAAGTAAAGTAAAATATACATTGGTCTGATGAACGCATAAATTATCCGTTCTAAGTTTAATTAAGTTAGCTAAAAAGAAAATTGAGAGCAATTTTTTGCGGAACGAACACCTGATTCATTGAACTTCATATGTTACATAATGTAGAGAACAAATACTAGTCGAATTCTTTCAGTTTTTAATTTACATATTTAATTTAAACTGTTTCTTTTGGTAAGCATATTTTTATTATCTACCAGCATTGCCCGCGGCTCCGCCCGCGTTCAGATGACAAAAAAACAAATTCTGAGGTTTTACATATTAGTATACTCTTACAATGCAGTTTTTGTATTTTTTCGCAGAAATGAGATATTTTCCTGCGGTACAAAGTATCCTATATGTTGACCCGGATAACCAGCTATCACCATACTAAACTTCATCAAAATCTGTCCCGTGATTTTCTCGTGATGCGGTAACAGACAGAAAGACAGACAGACAAAAATTCTAAAAACTATAGATTCGGACTCTGTATCGATAGTAATATCTATTTCAATTAGATTTTTCAAAAAATATTTAATGTACAGATTCGACTTAGTTACAATTTTATTATATGTGATGTTGTAAGGGGTAATCTCTGGATCTACTGAATCGATATAGATGAAATTTAGTAAGAAGATGGTTTTAGACCCTGGGAAGGACATAGGATACTTTTTATCCCGAAAATCATCCCTCAAGGGGGTGAAAATGGGGATGAAAGTCTGTATAGGGAATCAACCTAGGAACGAACCCGAACGAAGCGAGAGTGAGTCACTAATTTCAAATAAGTTTTTTTAGGTTAATTACAACATATATGGCAAAAACGACGATTACATTGAATTATTGATGATGCACTCGTAGAAACTAAGCGTGAGGTTAGTTATTAAAAACAATCATTACTGGATTAATTAATTAATATTTAACTAACAAAGTTAATATTAAGGCAACACACTAAATAAATACAACGAAAATATTTTTTTTTAAATATGTACGTAAATGTTAATATATACTTTAATGCTTTCAAATTAATTAGTAAGTAGTCTGAAATATAAATCTTATTGAATTATTATGAAAATGAGTGAATTTGGAAACTGGTTCTTACAGGTATTCGAGTTGCAATACTGTAAATATTAAATCGGAGTGTCTATTCGTCCTTTAATAGGACGAATAAAAAATAATTATTCGTCATTCATAAAATATAAAAATTATAAGAAAGGATAAATAGATAAATAAGTAGAATAATTAGCTCCGTTCAGCTCGGTAAGGTTATTTTTTTTGCCTAAGAAACTCCTGTACCTAAAAACCACTTATTTTACATTAGAAAACAAAAAAAAAATGGTAAATATTCGTACAAACCGACAATAGCCGTCAACAGTTATTTATTATTCGTCATATTAAAGTGTGAATAATTATTTTTTATTCGGCCTTATTTTGAGTACGAATAGCAACAGCTATATTAAATATTTGTTTTGGTCTATAAATATTTGTGCCAATAAGATGTATTCCTACAATACGAGATGAATTTTCATTACCTTGAACTTAAGGTTTTTATTTACATGGTGATGGTTTCATATAAATTACGAAAACGGAGACCCAGTGTAAGGGTGGAAGATTTACTTTTAATCTTAAGATCTTAAGAATTTGTACATTCTTTGTTAAAAGTAATTATTGGATTCTTACTTAAATGACAAAAAATACTGCAAAATCCCTAATTGACAACCGTCCATATGGAATCGTAAGAATATCGATAGTGTTGCGGCGGAGATCTCTCGGTTCACTTATAAACAATTATGTATTCAGTCAAAAAAGTAAAAAAATCGTCATCAGAAGTAATTTTAATAAGAAGTATCTATATAAAAATACAAAATTTAATATAAATAATAGAACAAACAATAAATAGTAATAAAAATATTTACAAATATATTTAACCTCCAGAACGGATACATTATATTATAATTATAGAAACAAATTCATACGCTCACGTGTGCCAAGTATTTAGAAATCTCGGATAATAAAATCCAATTAATACCTTATTGTGGTTTATTACATAATTGGCTATTATTTTAGAATTCGACTAATCTATCAAACATTTTAATTACACTTCAACATTATAACAAGCAATTGTTTTGATACATATTTGCCTCGATACACTTTCGGTACTTGTACAATGAAGTACTTTCTTTTTTAGCCTAAATTAATTCGATAACGTATGCTATTGTGAAGCTTTGCAAAAATTATTATATTTAAATCATATATAATTTTAATTATTTGGTTACATTTAAAATGCCTCTATTAATCTAGATTTCTATTTTGTTTTCTTTCTACAAATTAGTAGAGCACAACCGACATTGTATTCCTTATATTATTGCTTGTGAAGTGTTATATATATTTTTAGATATTTAAAATATACATTTATGTAAAATATTACATATATAAATAATTACGTGTTAAAATGTATGAATAATAAATATAAAAAATAAAATAATCAATAAATAACTTTATTGGCTGATGAGAAGAATTGTTTGTATTTACATATATCTGTATTATAAAAGCTGTTTGTTTTCCAACTGATAATAAATAAATAAATATAAATGTGTATGTAAAATATAGTTACTTGAGCACTGCTTCTATCTTTATATAATAATCATTATTATTAGTTATTGACAATTAGATTTGTTCAATTTATATAGTTCCTACTTTCACTACGTGTTGAACACGAAATAGACGATCACTTCAGTAATTCTACGAGTATATCTGATTGCCAAATTCTAAATTTCTAAGCTCTATCAATTATCGATATTCAAGTATCGATATTATGGAAAATATAAAAATATGTATTACTAGCAGAACCCGCGGCTTCGCTCGCGTTAAAACTACAACAAAGCTCTAAGCAAGTAAACGATAAAAAGTAGCCTATGTCACTCTCCAGCCCTCCAACTATCTCCACACAAAAAATCACGCCAATCCGTCAATCCGTTTCGACGTGAAAGAAAGACAAACAAACACTTTCACATTTATAATATTAATATAGATTTTGGCTTTTGATTTATATGAATTAAAAATATCCTCCATAGTAGATCAAAAGTTAGTAACTTAAAACTCTTAAAAAATACATATTATTATAGGATTTAAAGATATAGGTAATGGAAAATGACAAGATTCTATAATAAAAATAGTAATAACGCATAATATTATATAGAAAGAGAAACATGTTCATAATTAAATGTATTATGTATGTGTATTTTCTTCATTTGTTTTTTGTTATTTGTATATTTATTATTAGTGTGTATTTGTATGTGTGTATTTTCTTCACTTTTCGATCTTAATCGTATTTAAGCTAATTTTTTTAATATAATCCATTGCAATTCTTTTTAGCGAATTTATATTTCACATCAATTTGTATCAATTAAAATGTACAATATTGTATGAAGTATAAGTATTGTAGAATATTAATATATTTATATTATTATTTATTTAGGCAGTGGTAGCCCAATGGTAACGCGCTCGCTTGGGAAACCGAGTGAAGCAAATTCAAATCCCGGGTCTCGCACCTCTGATATTTTCATGTGCGAATCATTTCTAACATGATTACCACTTGCCTTACGGTGAAGGAAAACATCGTGAGGAAACCTGCATGTCTGAGAGAACCTAACAAGTTTTCGAAAGACATGTGAAGTCCGCCAACCCGCACTTGGCCAGCGTGGTGGACTATGGCCTGATTCCCCTCGTACTGAAGGGAGGCCCGTGCCCAGCAGTGGGACGTTAAAAAGGGCTGAATACATACATACATACATTATTTATTTATTTTACAATAATTCGTATAAATATTATTCTTAAACTAATAAGAATTCTTAAAAAAACAGTTCAAGGTTTCAAAGAGTGAAGCCATGACCGCAGCCGAGGTCACTTTCAATTGTTATCGAAAATTGTTAGTTTCATCGTCATTCACGGCTTAATATTAATACATATGCTAATAAGAATCGCATTTATAGCTATTATTGAAGTTATACTTCTTTTGGCACGTTTGGAAAAAAATATGAGAGAAAAATAAGCTGAAAGCGACATGATGAAATTAGCTGCATTCCTTTTACAAACAGAGAGTTGTGACATACCGGATGAAATCTTTAGCTATTTTTGTTCTGATACGCCAAAGAAGTATAACTTCTTACGTGCTATGTGCACACATACACGATTTTTTTTAATAAAATAATATTTTTAGTGTAATATATAT